CGTGGGCACGTTGCGTTGCGTTACGTTGCGGTTTCGCGCATCCTTTCCTAGCTGTTTTGCGAGTTTTTTGGAAAAACCGCAGCGCGCCACCGTACGGGACGCGTTGTCTGCGTCACTGGTTACACCATAAAAATTTTTTTCTTTTTGATTTTTTTCCGAGTCCAAATTCCATATCTTTTTCTTTTTGTTAATTTTTCGAATACGAATCCATATCTGCTTAGCGCCGCCTTTGTGGACGAGGCAGTTACGAGCAGATTCATTGCGAAAAAATGGTGCATAGAATTGCAAAACTGACCACATTGTTGCATTTTACATCAAGCTTTAGCTGTAGCTGCATGTCTTGGCCCAGCGTTAAGCCGAGCACGGCTCTGTACTGCGAAATTTGCGCCCTGCATGCACAATTTCTTAGCAAAATAATGGCCTTTACGGTTCATAACTTCGCGCACATAGGCGTTAGCAGATACGGAAGATAGATTCGAAGTCAGCATATGATGCTGCATCCAATGGTGTGCAGCTTGTTTGAATTGGCCACTTCGGTTTCTGACCATTCCCTTGTAAGTATTTGAAGACACAAGCGCAAGCGTTTATTTGCTGCGACATCACCCTTCCACCTCCTCTTCCTCTCGCTCTTTGTTGAGCTTTGCTGAGCATTCAGCACAACTGAATATTTATCGCTTGGCTGATGAGACTGCGGCACAAGTGTTTTTGTTGTTGTCAAATCCCAGCTCTTGTTTCTTGTCGATAGCCGCTCGAGCACGTGTTCGAAGTTCACAGCAATGCCAGCGTCAGAGCTTCTTCGACGCAGTTCGGTCGTTCACCAAGAAACCTTAGAAGATGCTAATGTTTTTCGAGAAACAAATGACTAGCTGTCGTCATTCGTTACTGCTTTTTCTCCTCGGTGGCATCATTTTCACCAGGAAGAAATGCTCGTTCATGTACATTCTCTCAATTACCTGATTCTAGCAAAAGCCTCAGTGTTAGAAGGATGATCGTGTTTGTAAAAAAGAAGAAACAATTAGTTTCTATAATGAATGCAGCCTTTCATCATGGGGTTCGCTTTCATTTCAATGCAAATGTGGAGGTTGCCATACATTTATGCGCAGAAAGCGCAAAGAACAAACAAATTCTTCTCGAAATCTTCTGCGAATTTCTTTCCTTCTTTTTCACCATACTCAAATTGCACTGATTTCTTTGCAATAAACAGCTTCTGTCATCCCAATCTTCTCTCGAGCTCATTGCTTTCATATAGCTTCATCATATTTCCTTACTTTCCTTCGAGGTCACGATCGCAATTCTTTTGAGCCACTTCTCCAACAACGGTAAAGGTCATGGAACCCAAAAAAAGCTTCCCGTTAAAAATACAGTGGTCGTTGGAAACACTTGAAATAGTTTCTGAAAGGGCTGTGAGCCAGAACTTCTTGATTTGTCCACAATAATTAGATTGGTCTATGAGTCTTGAATCAAAAAATGTGACAATTTCTTTCTATGTTTACCTTACAAATCGTAATACTTCTTGTAGCATATAGCAGACTTTTTTCTTTACTTTTTAATTAAAATTTTGTTCAAAATCCTGAGGATGATAACACGAAAACATTAACTATTCGTTAAAATATCCAATCCATTCGTAAGACCATAATCAAAGCTTGAGTTAAATTTTATTGAGCCTTTTTGTCAACATTTTTGAGGACCAAAATTTATAATGAATGCTTTATCAGCTTGGTCTTGAAGAGCCAACTTTATGGCGTTGAACTCTGCCTTTGCACTTCTCAAACAAATTATTTTCTCTCTAATCTACACCCAATCAAATGGTTCAATGAAAGTGTAAGAAATGTAGAAACACACTTACCAAAATCCTGGTACAAGATTTATGACCACACAATACACTCTAAGCTGTGCTCCGCCATATTTGATTCCAACTTCGAGGAGATTACGTTGAAAGATTCTACCTTAGAATAATCGAGTAAGGAGTCAAGTGGCTCAAGCAGCGTGATCAGCTTTACCCAGTAATCAACTGCTAATTGGAAGGACCTTGGTGAAGGCTGACCGAAATACTTTGAAATTAGAGTTGGCATTTTTGCTACCTATATGTCTACCTGTCTGTCTGTATTCATCAATTTATATTTGCATCTCAGACTGTACAACTTATGAGAATTTCTGGTGAATATCTTCAAATCGAGACTTTCAACATTGACATGGAATGTCTGTTATGCTCCAGTCTACGATAATGTCAGCAAGAAATGCGATATTCAATACACAACTACACTCACCACACTTTCAAAATCTGATGACAATTATGGTCCTAATCTTCTAATGATAATATCTCGTTTTGCTGAACAAAATGCAGAAAGTTAGAATGTTTGAATTCAAAATTCACAGCAAAGGAAACAGGGAACCTGTGCAGCAGATCGTTTGGAATTTACTTTCAAGAAAAAAATCTGCTATTCAGCAGCTGTGACGGAACGTCACTTTATGTGTGTCAATAGGTCTAAAACGTCAAGCGTCAGCTGGAATTTTCTAATCTGCCAAAAGTGGAACGAACCCTCCTTTGCATTAGATAAATTGGTGTGACGTATGGTTGCACTTTTTCTTGATAATACAGATATTTGAAATCGTAATTTGCTATCCATTCAATGTTCTCCGTCGTGCACCCCATAGACGGCTAAAGGCAATCTCGTAAATGCTATTTTCTGCTAAAAGTCCTTGAAAGCAAGCCTTATTACTTTTTCGCTATCTAGGTCTCATTTCTGTCCGTCTTTCCGATATAGGCCCCATCTACCGTACCACCGTAATCTCAGGAAATGACGCGCGATTCATGATCAGCTCGCCAAATACCCGTATAACAAAATCCGTGGATTTTAATTTTGGATTAAGATAGCTAGAATAGCTCTCATACCACTGCTGACCCTCACGTTGTCCTCAGGTGCACATGCATGTGGATGTGCATGGGACTCAGTGGATTTATATTTTTACCGTGATTCTGTTGAACAAGGTTTGTTTAACTGCTTTATCACATTCACGACAAGGCCGATTTTTCGATTACTGCCGTTTCAGACCAGAACCTTTTTCGCTTTGTTAAACTTACGACCCACACGTGGGCGGTATTGTCCAAAATGGTAGTCTTTTTTGTGACAAATTGAAAACGTGTCTCCGGAAAATTCTCACAAGGGTTATCGAAGGCGCTGACTATCAAAATATGATTTATTACAGTTTTTGGCATCATACGGTAAGGTGGCGGTAGTCATTCCGTACGAGCCCAAAATCATAGATTTTCATGAGAAATTGTGTTTTGGGGCTATTTCACGTGTTGATCACGATTATAGTGTCCACTTTGTTCACTCCTTTCTCACAGTGGAGCTACGGTAGCAGTACGGGCTATGGTAGAATTTTCGTAAACATCAAGAAACTGATGTAAGAAGGCGGTATTAGAACTTAAGAGCATCATTTTCGCGTAATCAGTATGCTACAAAACATATACATGTAAGTTCTGAGCTGCCTGGGAGGAACAATGCAAAAAATCGATAAAATCAATAAAGTCGATAATTTTTTAATGGGCTGACATCAGTCTCGTGCCCTTCCCGTATTTCTCGTGCATTTGAACTTGATTTTTCAAAAACAGCACCCCTCTACGAAAAATTTAGCTGCTTCATGCTATCTATGTACCAGTGGCGGTCGCAGAATTTCGGACCGGAGGGGGCCAAAAATTTTTTTCAGATGAAGGTGCGTGGCTGACGCCACGCATCCCGAGAAAATATCTGGGGTGCTTCTCAGAATTTTTGGGGGTTCCAAACCTCTAATATCTGGAAGAGGGGGGCGTGGCGTCAGCCAAAGGCTAATTTGAATTTCTAAAAAAATTTTAAAAATTATTTTAATTGTTTACAAGAATAAACAAGTCACTTGCACATTTCTATAACCCACGTAAGTATAATTCAAAAATTTCGCGACCCATTCTCGGGTGGGGGGCACCGGTGGGTCGTATTGCCGTGAATGTGTGATTTACAAGCCGGACTCTCCAGCAAAACTTCAACAGACACTACGAAAATGCCGGGTTCTCCGGCTTACAACTCAACCACAACTGACGTTCCAAAGGGAAGAGCCAGAATTGTAAGTGTTCGGAGGCTGCCAGCTGGCAGCTTCCTTTGTTGAATAAATCGCAAACGAGACAAAAACACTGTTTTGCAAACTGGCCAGCGTACAGAATGTACAAAATCATTGGGTAACAAATTATGATAGCGTTGGCTAAAACACCCGCCCCGCCCCGAAGTGATGTGTGCAAAGTTTGGTCCGGACCGGTTCAGAAACAAAAATTTCTACTCGTAACATACGTACACACAGATAAACAGGCGGACAAACAAACAGACATTCAGCTTCATATAAAAGAATTGAGAATTTGGTCTTCAGCCAGCTTCGCGAAATGACAATGCTCCAAAACAAACAATCGAATGACGCGCGCGCTACGCAACTGCTGCAAAATGGTATCGGTTCATGTTTGCAGAAGTGCTTACTAAGTTCATTGGTTTTATGGTTTGTGTTACACACATAGTATATAGGTACATATGACGGCTTAGAGTTGGACTTGAAGCTCCCGCGAATTTTGTTGATTAGCAGGATGTAAAAAGAACTTGGAAGAGAGAAAGAAGCTGACTATGTCACCGAAACTCTCTGAGGTAGTAAGTTGCATCGAATATCATTCGTAATCAGAATCGGAAGGAAACTGTATCGTTGAGCCTGGAGGAATCTTGTTGCTTATTCTCTTTGGAGTAGCGACTATGAGCTAGGGCACATGTATAGCTGATAAGTCCTAAAAAACAAAAATGTATGCGACAGAGTCCAGCTTTCTAGTCTCAGTTTTGTATCATTCTTGCTTCTTTTAATAAAAACTCTTTCAATGCACATGTTTAGCATCGTTCTGCTTGTATTATCTGCTCAATCATGGTTCAATCTCGGTTTTTACCGCATCAAATCATTCGTATCACGCAAACTGTTATGTCTCATTCTTTAGGTGAGGCCACCAAACGGCCTCCCTATGCTCGATCACAGATCCAGCAGCTGCAGCTTGAGAATCTTTCCGTCGTGCTGACGCGATCAGGCTGTCGGCGGCTTTCGAATGTTAGCTTTCCTTTTGGGAACGTTATTCGGTGCTGGTCTTGTCTTATTCATCATCTTCGTTCTGGTCGTCGACCCATGGGGACCAGTATCACCGCCTCCGCCGTTCATCGACCAGTACCGGCCTGTTGAGATTCCGAAGGTGTGTTTCCTTCTTTTATTTCTTCGTTTATTTATTTTGTTTTGCTGTTTGTTTTGTTATTTTCATGCTTTTTGTTCACTATCTGATTTTTGAGAGAGAAAAAACTTTCTGTTATGTAAGCGTATGCCTTTTGCCTACAGAAAACAATCTTATTCAATTATAATATGTCATTCGAGGACTTCAAATAAGCTGTTGTGAAAAATCTTGCTAATGAATTCTATCAGTACTTTTCTGTCGTTACCATGTCTTACGTTTTCTTCCCTTTGAGGTTTACGAATGGAAGTTTAATCGAATATCGAAGTGACTGAATTCTGCTTCTTACAAGGGAAAGATCGCGACTTAGGGTGGGAACTAGATTGAACAGCATATCATTAGATGCGTCTCCATGAGCCGGCCAAATCCACCTTCCATCTCTGCGATCTTTCTCCAGAAAAAGCATTCAAATGAGCGTTCAAATGTCCAGATTTGTAAAACATTTAGCGCCAAATCTCCAAGAACTCGTTGTTCTAAAGCATTTATTTGTGTTTCCGGTAAATGTGAGCATTCCTCTGAATCAGTGCACGCATTATTATGCTATCATAGTCATGCACTCCCAAGTTATATCTAAAACACATTATAGATTGAAGCTCTTAGGACTTTTCGGTACTTTTCCGTTATCCGGACCCATTTTTTCAAAAGTCTCTCATATTATAACTTCTTTAGTCTAAGAATAATTTTTCATAGATTCTACGATGACTACCTCCTTACCACATGTCACTAAAAAATTGACACGTTTGTGTCCAATTTGACATGTTTCTTCGAAATCATTTCCGGTGAGATAAAAGAGAATTTGTGATCATTTTAAAACTGTTTAACTGTTTTACATAAGCACAAAACAATCATGAACTTATTCTTGAACATTACGCTTGCTTTCGGCAGTGATTTGAATGTATTTCTCTTCGCTTCCTTTTCGCCATCCAAATTTAGCAGAAAAAAACTACAAATGATAGTTTAAAGTCCTGGCTGCTGCCTATTTGACCTCTTCAATGACGGAATCCTAGCTCACTTCCCTATCCTGAGCACGTCTAATCTATTTATCGATGATAGTATGTCGTTATTATTATGATGATGTTTACTTTAAAACTGTTTGATCGAAATGAGGTCAAAATCAACTAAAAAACAGATTGAACTTACATTGCTAGGTAGAGTAGCACAAACTCTTAGTAAAACCTGTTAAACATGTAGATGACACGTCAAATTTTTTTCGACAAGTAGCAGAAGGTTGACACACCTTTCTGTAAAGCTGGGACAAAATACGGTACAAGGTTAGAAGCAGTATCTTTCTTTGAAAAAAGGGTCCGGATAACGGAAAAGTACCGACTTTTCACCTTCAACAATCAGATTTGTGAAGTTACTGAGGTTTTGATGCATAGTATGCTTCTAAATCCAGCTCGGGAGTGCATGACTAGCATGTTGATATTGTACTAATTCGAATGCTTACATTCACCGGAGACACAAGTATAGGGCTTATCAAATTGAGTGTCGTTTGCATCAGCATCTCCATCTTCGCGCTGGACTCTGCGTCTCTTCCGCGGGGCTGCTCTCTAAGCACTTTCCCAGGGCGAGCGTGGGAAAGTGGAGCCTCAATCGACTGAAAGTGATTAGGGAACATGTGCCGCAGAAGAGATGCAGAGTCCAGCGCGAAGATGGAGATGCTGGTGCAAACGACACTCAATTTGATAAGCCCTATAAGTGCTTTTGATCAAATAATTCTTGATGGTTTGGCGCTGAATTTTGCCATTTTGACATGAACGCTCATAATTCCACGAACGGCATCGCAGATAAGGAAGCTGGATCTGGAATCAGCTCATCAAGACGCATCTAATAATGTGCGACTCATTCCAGTTCGCCACCAATGTTCCGTGTTAGACTATAATCACGTCACAGCCGATGACTAAATAAGATCAGTAGATAAGCTGTAGATCATCTTTACACATGGCATTTATCGAGGGCAGATTATAAATGCATCAAATCAAAAAAAGTATTACAGCTTTCACTTTTTTGGTGCTAGATTTGCTGATACATTTACGCTACACATGTGTGCTTTTTCATCGTCGCGAACCATTGGTTCGGTTTTTTCACCATTCTTACAGCCTCCTTTGAAAAGGAGAGTATTCATCAATGCGTTCTTGTTTGAACATGAACGGCTAAATGATATTAAGGCACGCGAACATATACAAAGTGCAGATACATGTTTGCCAGCTCAGATGTTTGCAAAGATGTCGAGTTCTCTTGGGTTTTTTCTTCTATATTCCTAAGTGGATTATCATTCCTTCACCAGATTGGGAAGTCTTTCTGCAATTTCCATCGTAATCCATTGAGTAATTCACAAGGTCTTCTCCGAAAGCATTTAAAATACATATAGCATTGGGGAGACAATGCAAAATCTTGGCGCTTTCAGGTTTTTAAATTTTCATAATTGTCAAAACGCCGCTTTTCTCTCGTTATAGGCGTGTTGAAATAGGAATGGGTGTGGTGTTGGCCATCGTCTTTTCCAGAAGCGAATTCCCCATCCACGTAAAGACTAGAAAAGTTATGTCAGCACATTCTCTGAAACCCAGTCACACCAGGAATTCAAGAACACAAGTCGTGAAACGCTTCTAGTTTGGATAATTTGCACTTTCAGCATGCTAAACAATTGGGAAAATCGGTTTATCGAGTTTTCCGTCAATGAATAGAATTTTTCAATTGGTAATTTTTTGTGCTCTTATTCGAAGGCTTTCCATACACTTACGCATTGTCATTTGCGTCTTATCTTGCTATGCACTTTGGCTTTAACGACCTTAGATTTTCTGCGGAATAGTCATGCTGTGCAACAATGCAGACTCCTCGCAAACGCCCAAGGATTTTTTTTCGTACCAGATAGTATAATGCAATCGCACTTTTGCGCTTTACTGTTTGAAATGTCTCTATGAGCAAAAGGTTGCAGGAACTTCGCGACTTTCTCAAGACCGGTGATGACGGGCAAGGCATTTCTCGATGGGAGTCCTCTCATTCACTTTCCCTCCTTCTTCATATGTTTTTTCAAGAGCATAAGGATACGCGACAGCTTCGCAGGTGTGTTCTGACACATTGTTGTGTAGCTCATTCGCCAAAATTTTACAGATGGCTCTACAAGCGCTTGCAAATTGAACTGAATGACATCAGCACCCGGTCGGCTGCTGGTCGATTAATTCAGGTTGTTGCTTTCTGCTCTCATATCTTCTTTTTCACTTTTTGGGAATCATGTCTTTTTTTGTTTCGCGAGTTCTTCACTCTGTAAATAACATTAGAATATGCTGATGTCTTCAGGAAATTCGCATACGAGACCTCGCACTTGGCACGAAGTTTCCGAGGGTCAATGCTGTACGGGTGGAAAATGTCGAAATGTCTGAGGATAAAAATATATTTGAGGTAAACCCTTTCTTGCTTCTTTTATCATTATAATGTGCTATCATTTTGTTCTTTTCAGAAAATTACTCTCATGGTTGATATGGATTACACCGGTGGTTTTGAAACATCTATCGACGTGACAACTGTGTTCGGGAAAAGAGCGAATCTATCCATCAAAGTGAGACTAGTATGACGGTTGAGAAATACAGGGTGTCCCAAAAAAATGTGAACACTGTTTGATCCTTAATAACTCCGTTGCTTTCATGTCTTTCGCCGAGCTTGAGGTAACATTCTGTAGAGCGAGGTTCAACTTAGATTTGTGGTATGGAGTGAATCATCGATCGCTTTTCATTACTGTAGGATTACGGTACGAACTTCTAGCATGTGGATCTACTGTGAAATATGCCATTTGACGAAATTGTTTTCAATAAATCTAAAAAATCGTGTACTAGGGTTTTCGCGCACGCTGATTCCATAACACAACTTTATACGAGTGTTTTTAGCTTTTTTGACGGTGTAATCACATTTTTGACAAATGCTGGAAATTCGGTTATTAAGGCTTACCTGGGATAACCCTCGAAAGAAGCGTCACAGTGAAATGGAAATTTCATATTCGAACTTAGCGGCTTCCATTACCCATGTATAAAAGTTTTTTGCTTGTTTGGTTTTGTTCCGAGGCAGAATATGGCTTTCAACTGCTTAAAATCCTTGTCAAAGTTCCTACCGTAACCCTACAGTAATGAAGAGAGATCGACGATTTGCTCCATACTACAGATCTAAGGCCCGTATGCACGTACATCCCCGCGGGGAGGGAATGTGCGCTTAACCATTGAAATGATCCCCGCTGGGGATCCCCTTTCCTCCCCGCGCGAACCCCCGTATGCACAAAGACAATATCGGACAAGGGATCCCCTGTGGGGAGGGGAAGTGAACCTCCTTATGCACAAGGGGGGATCAAACGGGAAACCACTTTGCTTTCAAATTTTCTATGAAAAACTCTTTCTTATTTCATATTTTGACTGCGACTCATCTTTATCTCCTCACTTTCAATAATTTAGGGTTGCGGAATGCGCGTACTCAGACAATGGATCGGACCCCTCCGCTGGGGAAATGGCAGGGTCGCGGCGTTTCCCCAGCGGTGGGTCACCCATTCGTCCGGCGGAGCCCTCCCATTTCTCCGGCGGAGACCTCCCATTTCTGCTCCGGATACCTCCCATTTTCTGCTCCGGATACCCCCCATTTTCTGCTCCGGATACCTCCCATTTTCTGCTCCGGAGCCCCCCGATTTTGTGCGCCGGAGCCCCCCGATCGCGGCATACTGTAATTAGCCCTAATTAAAGGCAGCTTCCAGGCAGATCTGGACCTATGGGGCTTTTACATGGAAAGTACTTTTGGGGCCCTAACTAAGGCACTGCCGAAGCAGCAGCTCAGGTAGTGCTCCAATGGCTGAGATATTCCCCTCGAAACAGACCCCCCGCGAACGTATTCGCATGGATTCATGGCAGTTTCGCGCCAGGATCCACGCTTTGCGCCATGAATCCATGCGAAACACGGTCGCGGGGTCCGGTTTCGAGCAGAATATCTCAGGTGTTAGAGCATTACTTGAGCTGCCGGTTGGGTAGTGGCTTAGTTAGGGCCCCAAAATACTTTCCATGTAAAATCCCCATAGGTCCAGACTTGCCTGGACGCTGCCTTTAAGCTCCAAACCCCAATTTTGTCTCTAAACCCCACCCAAATAAGCCGAATAGGACCCCCCCCCGGGTAGGAGTTTAGCGCGACCCTCACCCCGTACTCTACCCCCTCCCTCTCACCCCTAGCGTTTGTGGATAGAAGATAGAAGAAAGAACGAAGAGATAAGACATTTATTTCAAATTTTTCAAACTTTCGAAAAATCTATCTATCTATCTCCAGCATACGTACAACAGTTAATTCATATTACAAAAACCATACTAGGAGTTAGAGATAAGAATATTGAAAGAAAAACTAATTTCCTTGTTGCAAAAAGAACCTTGTAACACCACAGTATAAGCATATGATTTTAACATGGTAAAAAAATGACAAAAAGATCAAAAAAGCATTCTGTGCAACATGAAACAAAACAGACAAACTGTGCGGTTCCTAGCCAGTACGACAGTACTCCAGTTAGAAAGGAGCATGTCAACTCCTTTGGGAATCTGAAGATGGCGCGTTTTGAATTCCAGCTCACCTTACATTAGATGACCGCTTACTTCATCCAGTCATACTCCTTTTCAAGCAGCAAGCGTCTAGTTAGTCGGAGCATCCATACAAAAGAACAAGCACATGCGGCATAATAGTATAAAGAGCTCCATGGAGTCCAGAACATTCTGTATGCATGTGGAAAATCGAGGACACCAAGAAAAGACGAAAAAAGACCTGTCTTCAATCGTTGGATCAGTATCGTGCCACGTCCACCACAGCAATTTCGTACCTAACATACGGAATGGTAATTGAAGCATCACAGAACTCAGGCCAACTGCAGGCCCTTCACCCCACCAAGGTAGGCGCATTCTGAAATGGCAATAAATATAAATTTACGCTCACAATCACCAAAGTGGACAAGGGGAACTTACAAGTGATTTCTATCCAAGACTGAAATTACTGTTACTGTTATAAGGCCTGAGCTGACTTGACCTGTATTGGTGAAAAAAGTTGAAGAAGGATTAACCAGCGATCAATTTTTAATGAAGCAACAAGTCGGGGGGGGGGGGGGGGAACGGGGTAGGCGCCCCCCTTCACAAGCTGTTCGAAAAACAGGACCGTGCAGAAACTCTTAACCGTTATCCGTTAAAATTTACGTCTACAATTTTGATCGGAAGATTTTCCCGCTAGTAAAAAATGTATGAAAATTCTGTGGACTAATAAATGTGTACAGGGCTTTACAACCTGAGTGTCCCACCCGCCCCGCTAGGACGCCACGCTTAGGTCCGCGCAGCGTTCGTGGCGCTGGCTGCGCGTCGACTGAAGCTTGGCGAAATCCGGGGGATACGCAGCAAACGCCGCGCGCGGCCTGAGCGAGGCGGCCGCGTTGGAGGAGCCACGCAAGCGAAACTTGCGACTCTCAGGTTGAAAAGCCCTGTACATGAGATACCTGCTAACAAGGACATAGGATGTGTAGAGAAACATTTGATGAAATCCAAAAAGGGCATAGAGAGGAACTCTCATTCCAAAAAAGCTCAACATACCCTAAACAGGATAATTATGAAGTCGAGTGTTGCTGAGAAGAAAGATAAATACCTGTGCATGCCACTAAAGATTCAATTCTGGTACAGAGATACTAGTGTTTCGATGACAAACGCATGTACAGTTACGGCAATCCATGTGTATAGATACCGACCGCCATGACGATAGGCTTATTTGATATCGAATAGTGATTTGAATAAGATACAAAAGGAAGTCTAAAACATACCATGAGCAAATGTGAGCATACATAAAAATCCAAAGACGAGCTCAGCAGCGAAAAAGTACGGGTTATTCTGGATCAATTCTACGGGACTTTTGTATTTGCAAAACCAATCCGCCCACTGAAAAGCAGCATGTGATATAATTGTGACTGAACGCCTGGAAGACATGAAGCTGATACCGAATTAAACTGCTTGAAATTGAGCAACTTTCTCATGGAGATAAAGTAAAAGAAAAGAGCTTTCCAAAAACTCACTAAAGACCTCACCGTAACACGGTACAAAACCTCACCTGGACCATGGTGACAGCTTTCTGACCTATACCTTTCCTAGTTTCAGGCGAGACTGTGAAAGGCAAGTTATCGAACAAATACCGATCCAACAAGTAGTCCATGCTAAAAACTTGCTTTATTCAAAGAAACTTGAACCAGAAACGATTGTGAATAATGAAGTGAACGATCGATGAAGATAGATGAAGTTTGCAAGAAGCAGCTCTAAAATAACCATAAGGACGACGGACTGCCGATGATATGGGATAAGCCAGAACTGCAAGCGTAGCCCTTACCAACTGAAGTAGGCACAAAGGATATGAAAGAAGAAAACGCAACGTGACACGGAACAACAACAAGGATTATTTAGACGATACTTTCATCACAACAACACTAGATAGTTGCGCAACTAACCTCATTGTTTCGAAAATCCAGAATTAATCACAAAAACCACTCCATCAATAGTCTACGATGTCTCAGCAAGTCGGAAAGAGCCAAACACTGAAGGTGATTGAGTGCAACCGCACGAAAATTTCAAACATAAACCTGAAAACGAGGAACTTACAGCAACATAAACGCCAACGCGACGAAGAGCAACGCGGAAAAGGAAAAAACGGTAAAGAAACGCGCAAAAACAACAGAATCAAAGAAACGGCGACTAAAATATGGACAAAGAGCGTAAACAGAGAACTCATCACCGTGGAGTTATACGTTTGCTTGCTACGCGCCAAATCGATACGCAGCCTGCTCCGGATACCTCCCATTTCTCCGGCGGATACCTCCCATTTTCTGCTCCGGAGACCTCCCATCTTCTGCTCCGGATACCCCCCATTTTCTGCTCCGGATACCTCCCATTTCTGCTCCGGAGGCCTCCCATTTCTGCTCCGGACCCCTCCCATTTTCTCCGGCGCGACTCCGCCAGATTTGCCAGGCTCGCGCCGGACAAATTTGTCCGGCGCGAGCCTGGCAAATCTGCCAGGGTCGCGCCGGAGAAATGGCGGACCTTTGCAGCAGGGCCGGAGAAGCCTCCCATTTGCCTGGCAGTGATGTCACGCGAGGGACCGCCCATTTGCCCCGCTCTCATTGGTCAATTGGGTCCGGCGCGAGTCTGGCAGTTTCGGCTTGCCCAGCGGAGGGGTCCGATCCATTGTCTGAGTATGCAGTGACTGCGCTTGGAGCACTAAAAATGATTTTTTCTACTCCCATTATGTTCCTGCTTTCTTGGATGCTGCCCACTTTCGCTCATACTGCCCCATTTTAGCGTAAAAATGTTGAACTATAGAAGTTGATGTGTCTCTGCAAGGGAATGGATAGAAGACGTTATGCTGCCGAAAAAGGGGGGGGGGATGCCGCGCGGACGCTCAAAGCAGTATTTTAACACATAACAGAAGCTGCAAATTGTGCCAGCTCTCCATAAACGCTGTAGCTATCAGCTGCATATCGTCCTTTATCCCAGGGGAATGATCCCCATCGGCCATCCCTGCTATGCACAAGGGGAACGCTGGGGAGGGGATCACTCCCCAGGGGATTTCTACTCAGAAATAGGCAAATATGCTACTTTCTAGATTTTTCGAGGCAGCTTATGTTAAAATAACAAGATAATGGCAACATGTCATGAAATATGAAAGTTACAATGTTTTACTCAGCCTATATAGTTAAAACTATTACGTTATATGAAAAATGCGCAAATTTTCTGAATGATCAAGAACTCCTACAAATAATCGAAATTGGCAGCTATTATTGCTCGAACTCCTTCTCAAGAGGCGAATATAAAAAAGAAAGACAAATTGCAAGCCACAGGTCGCTGAGAGAAGAACCCCGCTTTCAAAGAAAATCCTCCATCAAAATGAACGAAATGCTTGGTAATGACTGAGCAGAACCAGAGTATCCGCGTCTCTGGCATGATCTACACCATCGAACCCCTACTTCGTTGCAGGGGATGTCGATCCCCTCCCCCGCGTTATTGAGTTGAATTCGCGCATATGGGGTTCGAGTGGGGGAAGGGAAGGGATCCCCTCCCCATTCGAACCCCGTATGCACTGGGGTTCGCTCGATCAATACCTCTGAAACCATTCACACCATCCCCGCATAGGTGCAGGGGAGGGGATCGCTCCCCTCCCCTCTGTCATGGCGGGGTTCGGCGGAGGGGATCGTTCCCCTGGGGATCCAGCTCCCCTCCCCTCCCCAGCGGGGACGTACGTGCATACGGGCCTAAGTTAGACCTCGCTCTCGAGAATGGTGCCTCAAGCTCTGCGAAAGACCTAAAAGCAAGGGAGTTATTAACGATCAAACAGTGTTCACATTTTTTGGGACACTGCATAAAACACGTCTTATATCTCTAGCTTACCAAATTGGCTGGTCTGGTTCGTCTTGTTCTATCGAGAAAACCGTACAATCACTGGACTATGTCATTCGTGTCCACGCCGGAGCTTTTGACTGATGTGCGCATTCTTTAATTTGGTTCTTATCTTTTATATCACTGCCTTCAAGCTAGATTTTAGGTCAGTTCCCAGATTCAAGGACATCAACTCAAGCGACTTATTCCACTAATCAAAGAGTCCATACGAAGAGCACTCCAACGGAAGCATGTTTGGCCCAATTACAAAATACGTTATCGGCCTATTTTTCCCAATCCTTTTCTTCAGCCGTCTCCTCCATTGGGTGAGCATTCCACTTTTTTGTTGCTTTTTTTTACTGGTTCTGTAAGATCATATCCAATACCGTCGGTAAAGGACAGCTAAGGGAAAGTTTTCATTTTAGGAGGATCATTGATTTCAATGTTTTTGATTGGTTTTCATCTAAAACTGTGAGTCATTATCTGTCCAGCGTATGTTTAGGCGCATTTGCCCATATCAAGATTGGAGGTGGATTGGAGGTGACAGTGCTACAAGGAAGCCGTTTGAGGACAAGTCTTGTGGAGAAGGATCCGAGTTGTTATGTTGTCTACTGCACAGTGACCTTAGGTGAGTCCTCGATTTTATCTACTATATGAAGCTTTCCAACAATAAGGTTTTCGTCCTCTTTATTGCAAAACTTTTGTAATTTGTTACTTGGAATATAAAGCGACATTTTTTTGGAATTCTGATAACATCGACATTTAGTTACGTTTTTCTTATCAAAGTCTTTAAGATCATCGTCCGTTCCTGCAAAATTCCACTGACATGGCTCATTCACTGAGTGTGCTGCTCACTTTTTCCCGTCATGACATGACTACTCCGATAGGAATTGTTTTTGAGAAGGTTTGATTTCCTAAAATTGTTGCGTTCTAAGTAGTCATCAATATTATTGATATCTCTTCGTTTTTCACCTCATGCTTATGTTATTTAGACCACCGTCAGTGTTCAAGGAGTTCGGCCAGTGAGAGTGGCTATGGTAGAGGAAGGAAGTTTAGCTGATAAGGCTGCTTTCAAACCAGGTCAGCGGACTTTATCACGCTTTCTGTCACAAAGCTGCTGTTCTGACGGGTTGCTTCACGACTTTGGTAACCATCAAAGCGATTTCTTTTCCAGGAGACACGCTAATTGCAATAAATAATGTGCCGATTCGGAGCGAGCGGCAGGTGATTCGATTTTTGCAACAAACTCTTGGCGAATTATTCGTCTTGGTGGATCGCGGCCTTGATGACATCGATGATGACGACGTTTTAAAAGGTGTGGTTTGGATGTAATTGCGTGTCATGTTAATGAGCATGCACTAAAATGGCCTATCTTTTTTGTGCTCGAGAATTTGCAGTGGTGACTTTTACCACAGTTAACTCACTTATGAAAGTTTTATCCAATTCCTTGAGGCTTTTGAAAGTATTAGAAACTTCAAAAAACCTTCGGAATCCATAACGCTTCGAGATATTGAAGATTCCGAAGTATTAGTTGGGCCATCGAGCGGGAACAAAGATGACTCTTTCGTATGCCTCGGCGGTGTGACATCTTCTCCACGAACAACATTGGCCTGTCGAAGAAGCGTATCTCCCAATTCGGACAGTAAGTGCTGAAAACTGTCACTTGTAAATTTATTGACATTTGCAGTATTCGCTGTTTGTGTGAAAATAACCTCAATAACCTCAGTTTCTCACCACCGTTTTTTACATTCTCTCCCTTTTGATTACGGTGATCTCCTCTCTCTCATAAGGTTCCTTCATACAACGCCGCAGGATGCGGCGTAGTACGAAGGAACCCCATGAAGGGCCGGGCATACTTCATGCGATTTCGGTCGCGACGCAATTTGGCATTATTCCAGCTGTTCACAACTCACTGTAAGCACATTTCAAATGTACTGAACATAAGGCATTTTATCAATCCACGTAAATTATACACACAGTGCATGTGCAGTTTGCTAATGTTGAACCTGAAGAATTTTGGCGAATTGCCAAATCGCGTTGCGTCTGAAATCGCGTGAAGTATGCCCGGCCCTTGAGATAGATGATAGGCGATATGAGAGAGATTATATCCCAAAAGTAAGTACAGACTTTTCAATCTTTTCAATCGTCAATATTCTTCTTCCCATTGTCTCTTTTTTCGCTATTTAAGCACCATTCTGTAGAGGAGGCTTCAGGTTAGATTTACAGTATCGATCGAATCATCGATCGCTCTTCGTTACTGTAGAATTAGGCCCGGTCAGACTTCACGCGACTTAATCGCCGCGATCTAATCGCCAAGATTTCCATTCATTTTCATTTCACATTCGAAAATTTCGGTCTGGAAAAGTATCACAACCGAATGCAAGTTGATCGGCTTGGAATGATGTTGTAACAGTTGTCTCGTCGCGATTCAGTCGCGACGATCAAATCGCGTGAAGTCTGCCCGGGGCCTTACGGTGGGAACTTCGACAAGGATCTTAGAGTATTGGAGGCCATATTCTGCCTCGAAACAAAACCAAACAAGTCGTTTACTCTTATACTACGGTAGAAGCCGCCGATTTCGAGTATGAATCTTCCACTTTACTGTGATGCTTCTTTCCAGAGTCATCCCAGGTAAACCGTAATGACCGAAGTCCCAGTATTTGTCAGAAATGTGATTTCACCGTCAAAAAGGCTGAAAATACTCGTAAGAAGTTGTGTAGTGGAATCAGCGTGCGCGAAAACCCTAGTACACGATTTTTCAGATTTTTTGAAAAAAATTTTGTCAGATGGCATATTTCACAAGGGTTCCACATGCTGGAAGTTCTTACCGTAATCTTACGGTAACGAAGAGCGGTTGGTGATTCGATAGTGTATATCTAAGATGAAGCCTCCTCTAGAGAATAGTACTTAGATGGCGAGAAAAGACACAATGGGAAGAGAGCTAAAGGCTACTGCATGACGAAGGCGCAATAGCAGTGTTAGTTAAGCGGGCGCGAACGCGGCGCGCACATATCCTCACCGTTGTGAATCCTGCGCCTCCTGCGCTCTGCGGCTAATAAAGCCGCGCTCGCGCCCAAAGATAATGCGCCTTCGTTATGAAGCAGCCTATATTAACGATTGAAAAGTGTGTACTTACTTTTGGGACACCCTGTACTTTTACTGCGTCCTGCGGCGTGCGCCGCTGCAGTCGCAGTAAAAATATAAGCTCGCTCGCTGTGAAGGAACCCCTCGAAGAATACGAACGTGCGGCAAATGTAGATGTACATCCATAACCGGCCAAGCCGTGCTGCCGTGAGCGTATATTTTCACTGCGACTTCAGCGGCGCACTGTGGCGTAGTATGAAGGAACCCATATATGTCTAGGCATCTAACAACCATGAAAACAGCTTCGTTAATGTCTTACATAATAACCTCACCCGCTAAACACCAGATTTCACGGCTCATGCGTTTTTTTATTTTTTTGCAGCTAAAAGACGGCACAGCTTGTCGAACGCCATTTCCGCCCCATCTGTTCGTTCTCTTAACACGAATACAGAGTCGCTGACATCTTCTCTTATGAGCTTAGGTGAGTTTTTTTCTCCCTTGTTTTGCTTACATTCATGCTTATCGCTTCTTTCGCGTTTGAGTCTATCTTCCTCTTAGTTCCCTGAATGTACGGACTGGTTGCAAGCAGAAGCCTAATGTGCCTAGCCCTTAGCTGCTAATTGCATCGTATCCTTCAGCGTCTGCTTTTCGCTCATATGTAGTTTTTCTTCACCGCAATCTCTCGATCAATCGTAGTTTTTTGAGAGGCTGTCAAAATCTGTCATACGCGCGAAGATTTAACATGTAGTTTGCCTACGATAGTTATCGACATTTACATGTTTGCGTTTTACCGCCTACTTGTAAATCTTTTCTTGGAAGCAGCTAGTTGATATCTTATGGTAGACAGCGTAGATGCCGAAGTGGAACGTCAGGTGTGACTTAACCCCGTCGGGACAAAAACTTACGTTTTACCGCTGTACAGCTTTAAGAACCAGTTGCTAAAGTATAAAAGAGAGTTGGGGAGTGTGCAAAGCGTACAGCTCCATGGACATCGACGGTCGCATAAAGGCTTACCGATTCGTCGGATACGCTGCTGTGACTTTTTCTGCTGTTGCCGTACTCTCCGTTTGCATTACTCTGCCCTTGGTCTACAACTATGCCAGACACATTCGACGAGTTGCTCATAACGAACTACTACAATGCAAGGTCTCAGCCAGGGATGTTTTACAAGACGCTACAAAATTGCCGGAAGCGAACAGAACGACCAGGTCGCTGGTGCGACGCCAGTACGAAGAACCTATGCCTGCACCTGCAACAACAGTACCACAAGGCTACTCACCTCCTGTCTCTACAGCAACATCGGGTTATTCTGCATCCACAGCAACAGGCTATTCGTCTGCATCTGAGGGAACAAGAGGCTATCCTCCTCCTAGTGCAGCGATAGGGGGATACTCTCCTCCATCTTCCGAAACTGGAGGCTATTCGTCTGCTGCTGCATCAGGAAATTATTGTCAAGGTTGCTGTCTCCCCGGGCCGCAAGGCCCTCCAGGTCCTCCTGGAAGGCCTGGTCGTCCAGGAAAAGCTGGGGCACCAGGAGCCCCTGGAAATCCCGGCAGACCACCACAGCTCCCCTGTGAGCCAATTACTCCACCGCCATGTCGTCCATGCCCTCCTGGTCCTCCTGGACCTCCAGGTGAGACAGGACCTGCGGGAATGGGTGGTCCCATTGGGCCACCTGGTCCACCTGGACTTGTAGGGCCTCCAGGACCACAAGGTTTGAAAGGTCCACCTGGACCTCCTGGCAAAATGGGAATGTCAGGACCTCAAGGACCACCCGGTGAACCGGGCAGGAACAATGAACCACAGCCTGGACCTCCCGGTCCCCGTGGATCACAAGGTCCCCCTGGCCCGCAGGGTGCGGCTGGAGCCCCCGGAAACGACGGCCGTAACGGTGAAACAGGACCAAAAGGACCAACTGGTCCACCTGGACAGCCCGGCGCTGATGGACTACCCGGAGCGCCAGGACAGCCTGGACAAGACGGATCTCCTGGACAGCCCGGCATCTGCCCCAAGTACTGTGCTCTTGATGGAGGAGTGTTCTTCGAAGACGGTTCGCGACGTTAGTCTCCAAGTGATGTCTGAATGAATAAAATGACTGTACACAATCTGCAATAAATCTTTGTAGTAAGTGAGTTATGTGGGAATAGGTAACACTCGTTTGAAAAGCTTGCATCATAATTAACATTAGTATTTCAAGACATTATAGCAGCTACACCGAGCCTAGTTCGTTACATTGATATAACAATGTGGTCAGTTGTGGATGTGATTGATCATTGATCAGTTGTCAGTTACATTGTTATACACAATTTGGTCATTGCGTATAACAATGTCGAATCTTTATGACGTACTCGAGCATTCGCGTATATCGGTCGAAAGGTAGTCTTACTATGAACCGATCATAAACGTTTCTAATTCATTGATGCCACGCGCAGATCTCGTTCACCTTCAAGAAAGACCACAACTCCAAGTGGAACGGAGACGGAGACCTGTGTAGTGCGACCAGGAATTCCAGTCGTAAATCTACTTTTAAATGAGATGTGCCTATTATCGTGTTGTCGACATAATGATTGATTCGGATGCAACGGGGGAAACGTTGTTATTTGGAAAGAGTGTCCTCACTTAAGTTGCTGGATAGTGGCAGATGGTGATGGATGAAATTTGAAGAGAAGGAGGACGGGTTTGAAATCGGCCAGCAATTATTTATATGCTTTTTGTAGGTTGAATTGGGGTTCTTTTTGATATCAGCGATATCGTCAGCTCAATGAAAAAATTATCTTCCTTGCGAAATCGTTCGTCATTACCACCCACGTTTCATTTATGAATGTTGTCTTCTTTTTTTCTGAGATTTTATGGTTGTTCGAAAGTAAGTTATTGCCGCTAAAATCAACTGTCTTCCTTAGAATCTCTGGTATTCACCAACTCAGTCAGGTGTGACCATGCGCTGATGGTGTCCCTAGACTGACAGTGATCACATCAAGGAACTGGTTTCAAATGCACATTATATGTTCTGTGGGCAAAGGCACATGGAGGATTGAGAAAAAACATATATTTTTATACTCATTTGAGCTTGACCTATTATCCTTCGCGCCGTACTAAGCCTTATTTCTTTCCACGCCGTGAGATTTGGTCATACACCACCGTCTACCACCATTGTGACTACCTTTACGGTGTTGTGGCGTCCGATGGTCGACTTGTTTCGCATGAATATCTAGGTTTGCCTACAAACAACTACAACTTTGAAGCATGGCCGAAGACATATAAAGTTACTTAGTTGAGTTAAAGTTGAGCCAACTAATCCAAGTTAAGCTTGGCAATAGCGGACATTCGACACCCTTGCAAGTTGCTTAGTTAATTACTAGCTGGCTTGCCCGGCTCCGCCGGGCCTGCCAGCTAGACCCGTGTACGTATGTTCCGAATAGAAATTTTTATTTCTGAACCGATTGGGACCGAACTTTGCACACATACACTTCGGGGCAGGGAGCATGTCACAGTCCACTTTTCGTTATCGATCGATGTCGACTTTACCGATTTTTTGCAAAATTCGAGCTAGAGGGCTGGGATTTGGCAGAGGGGGGTAATCGAGCATGCTGATCACCCCGAAGGGGGTGATCAAATCGATTAAAGTAATGCACGGTTTCGAAAACTAATATTGTATTCGTAATCAGCATGCTCGATTACACCCCTCTGCCAACTCCCAGCCCCGTAGCTCAAATTTTGCAAAAAATCGATAAAATCGACATCGATCGATAACGAAAAGTAGCCTATGACACGCTCCCTGCCCCGAAGTATATGTGTGCCAAGTTTGGTCCCGATCGGTTCAGAAATAAAAATTTCTATTCCGCACATACGTACAGACATACAGACAGACATACATACATACAGACAGACATTCAGCTTTATATATAAGATTTGCACACATACACTTCGGGGCAGGGAGCATGTCACAGTCCACTTTTCGTTATCGATCGATGTCGACTTTACCGATTTTTTGCAAAATTCGAGCTAGAGGGCTGGGATTTGGCAGAGGGAGGTAATCGAGCATGCTGATCACCCCGAAGGGGGTGATCAAATCGATTAAAGTAATGCACGGTTTCGAAAACTAATATTGTATTCGTAATCAGCATGCTCGATTACACCCCTCTGCCAACTCCCAGCCCCATAGCTCAAATTTTGCAAAAAATCGATAAAATCGACATCGATCGATAACGAAAAGTAGCCTATGACACGCTCCCTGCCCCGAAGTATATGTGTGCCAAGTTTGGTCCCGATCGGTTCAGAAATAAAAATTTCTATTCCGCACATACGTACAGACATACAGACAGACATACATACATACAGACAGACATTCAGCTTTATATATAAGATTTATCCATCCTGTAAAACGTAAGAGAAATCTGTATATGAGGATACAAGAACGAAATATGTGACAGAGTCAGAAAAAATTCCCAGCGGCGCCTTTTAATGAGTAAAAATATCGGCGGAACAAGTGTGCAAACATTAACATACACAGAGAGAAGGGGAGAAGACAGTTCATTTCCGCTTCTCGAACTTCCATAGTTTCAATTGTCATCTTTCGTTATCTGATTGAGCTTGTGTTATGGTGATTTTGCGAGGAGTTCCAGAGGCGGAGAATAGCGGAGCATACTTTGGGGTATCTAGCTTCTCGTTCGAATATCATCAGTGACGACATTTTAGATACTACCTTTGAGCGACCCGCAGTAGCATCCGTACTCAGGACCGAAAGTGATAGAGTGCCACAAGTATTAGTGAGCCAGGCAAGCACTGACCTGAGAAGAACGCGGTATGAAATAGACCACAATAGTATTTCAATTCTCGACCTACGTTGTATTTTGTACAGTTCGGAGAGTCAGTTGGATGCCAAATTGCTGGATGCCATCTCTATGAGCTCATCTGTATCGGGCGCAGTAGAGGATGAAATCTCAGTATACACTGTCAGTTCTCTCGGAAGCGAAATGCCGGAGCCTGTTGTAAGTAATTTTGCACATCACCTAGTATTTTCTCCGTTTAAAAAGTTATCATCAAAGTATCACCATAAACTTATGCCGGACCGTGAAGTAGATTTATGAAAGTATCCATCATTTTTTTCTATATTTCAATTTGTTCCAGGTACCACCGTTAGAAGGTCTCGATGCACAAAACTTGTTATCACCAGATCTCATCACTCCCAGAGAAAAAGATGCGAAGGACGTTACTCTCACTCCCGGTATGACTTTGGCAGATGTGGAAAAAGAAGCTGCTGCAGCTGCTGCAGCTGCGGCTACTCCTGCTGTTTCATCCTTACAGGCTGCTACTAATGGAACTTCTGGTGTACGTCATGCATCCATGTTTGATTCAGTTGAATGTATATATGCTTGTAGGTGGAGACTGCTAGTTCTGTAGCGTCCTCACTTTCGCTCAAGACTGAAGACGAGCTGGAAGAAGAGGGGAGTCTGAGCCGTAGTAGGCCGACGAGCACAAGGAGACAGCGATTGCATGTTTGTGACATTTTTTCGCAGTTCATTGGTTTGTTCAGAGGTTTTTCTTAGGCTACACTGCAAGCAAGCAAGCGTAAGGTTCTCGATCTTATGCAGAAAAGGCGTGCAGGTACGCCATCGTCTTACTCCGACGCAGCGGAAATGGGTGCCGATGCCGGCGAATTGGATGGACCTGCGGAGGGTGATCGAATAGAAGTGAGTTTAAAAGAGTCCTTTAGGCAGAATTCACGACTATCTATTTTTATTTAGCATTATTAGTTATGCATTATTTAACTCAATCTTACGGGCAGATAACCAGATGGTTTATGCTACGCCTTTTTATGCCCTGAAATATTTTGTTTAGTCTCCCCTACCATCCATCGGTAAGCGCAGTCCCATTGAGATGCAAGTAGTGGACAAAAAAGAGAAGAGGAAGAAAAACAAAAAGTTGGTCTTTAAGACGTGGGTCATTATCGCTCACCTCTATAATACATCTTCAGCTCTCGATCTCCATGTACAATACCAGCGCAGCCGGCACCCAGCGTGCAGGATTCACCAACGGCTTCTGTAGGCTATGCACGATCGCGAACCACTAAATCTGTCCATTTTCGAGAGGTTAGTTCCTTTCTATTGAAATGTCAATTTATGCAACATTGTTTTCGTTTCTTTTTTGAATCTAAGTGGACTTCATTCTCATACTCCCCCCCCTCCTCCCAAAAAAAACTGGGAAGAAGAAGGGACCAATACTTCTATTTCATCCTTCACTTTTCAAGCGGATTAGATTTACTGGCGACTTTGTGAATTCAAGAGTGTTCAGAAGTTGTTGTTTATAGAACGTTCTTTGGGGTCAGTCGTTACACTATGAGCTTGATGGAGGAGCTACTTCGACATCGCCTTCCAAGTCCTCGTGTAAATATCTCAATGTCACCGTTCACGCAAAAGAAGTACCTTCTACGCCACCACCACCCGCGGCTGACTCCTCGTCAGCCAATCTTACCGCACAAATTCCCGAACCGGAGCCGCCAAAACCGATTCTGCTAGGATATGTGAGCTTCGCTTCCAGAGCGTTTTCAGCATTTGTAGTTAACTCCTTTTCTGTTCAGACTTCACTGTACGTACCACAAATACTCGATGACTGTCAGCTCACACTCTCAAATTATCATCGCGAAGTGTTCTATTTGAAACCTCCCACTGATGTGCAGTCAATCAACGATGCGTAAGCGGTTTTTTCGTTGTTGTATACTTCACTCTCATAGGCGGCTTTTATCTCCAGATTGCCAGACTCGATTGATAAATTGATTACCTTGAAGATTTTTTGCAGCTCGACTCAGGAGTTTTCGAGACATGCCGGTTACGATCCACGTCTTTTATATGGAGATGTGACTCTAGGCTTTCGTTACTTTCCTGATGGCCTCCCCCATGGAGCTGGTCTTCTATCAGGCGAAGAAAGGTAAATTCTGCAAGCTTATATCAGCTACAAGGGAGTAATTTTCCAGCGAGTTAGAGGAAAAGATTGAAGAGCAGCCACTCAGTGCTAAACCCAAGACACAACCTCCAGCCACCTCTACTACACAACATGATTGGAAACCTTGGAGCAGCAAAAGTGGTAATTTTTCACATGTGCTGACTGCGCAAATTCTGAATGCTTTTTTAGGAGGTGCTATCTGTGCAATGTGCCATGGGAAAATATGGCTGAAAAGTGCCAGTTGTTGTCAACGTTGCCTTGTTGTCTGTCATCACAAATGTGTGGATAGAGCTGCAACAGGAATTGTTTGCACACCACATGCAGTCAGTCAGACCGATGAGCAATTTGCGGAGGCAAGATTTTCTCTGTATACGTTGTCTTTTTCTGAGTTCTTCTTGCCTACGCCGCAATCTTCTTGCGCGTGTTAACTTCAATTGTTGTGCCTATGCGGGCCGTTTTCAGTTGGAAGTTGATGCAAATATTGATGGTGATCATGTCGAAGAGTGTCCATCGTCGGTCATCCCATCAACACCTCAAACGACACAGCCCCCATCAATGAGAGGTTTGTTCAGCTCAATGTTCATCCCCATACTCTGCTTATCGGTTTCAGGTGACGACGTTGAAATAACTTCTCGACGAGCTCGGTTGCGAAATAAAGTGTCGGAGAAGTTCTCTTCATGGAGGAGAAGCGGCAAAACTGCATCGAAACCTGATCTGAACCTTGCTTCTGACAGAGACTCTCGCATCTCGGAGTCATCCGCTGGTGTTGGTACTGAAACAGAAGGGACGCTCAGCCCAATGGCATGCATCCAAGTAAGAGCAATTCTTAAATGGTGCAATGTCATATTGCACACTTTCCTACAGGATTGTCTATCTGATATTCTACCCACTTTGGAAGGGTCTCCTTTTATTCGAAATCTGTACTTTCAACCTGGCAATGCATACAATGAGCAGACGATCAATCATGCCAAGGTTCTTGGGAAGGAGATCTTCGCTGATCTCAAGGGGGAGGAAAGAAAGGCGAAGATAAATGAGCAGGTACAACAAAAACATTTCCTGCATTTTTTGAAACAGTGGAGTCTTGTGCAGATTGATCGGATCCAACTTGCTATACGGGAAACAAAGGACGATCGTCTAGCAGCCTTGAAAAAGGACGGAACGCAGAAAAAAGGTCGTTCTTTTGAAGGCTTGGATGAGCGTTTGCAAGCCCTCGCAGTGTTGATGTTGCATTATTGCGCTGCTCTACAGGTATGCCATATTTTCTCTTCAGTTCATTCCTTGTTCTTTAGTTATTATGCGTATATTTGAACAGTAAACTTAAAATAGATTAACATCTCTTCTAAATCTGACGTACTTTTTCTCCCTTTCCCATCGAAACAGTACTTTATAGGATTGCGAAGTTCGAGAAGAACCTCCAGCCTCGGCTTTGACGAACGATAATATAACTTCACCTGAAAGTGCGTTAGATGGACGATCTTTTTCGGTATGGTGCCTAACCCTCTAACTTCTCATGTGTCTGCTACCCAAGCCAGCGAAACACATATTTACTAGTTACTAGTAAATCTCCAAAATCCTGCATGTGTTTTCTATTGGTTTGCTTGGTTATACTTTCAACTTTGTTGTAACATGCATGTGCTTCTTCGTTGTTGCAGCGAATTGTGACAAAAATCCGTCGAAAAGTCTCCACACATCACGCTGCACTTCGTAAACAAGTTACCAGAAGTCTGCACGTTTTTGATATGGTGGTGGGTTGTTGTTGGCACTCTGTGTTGTTTGTCTGGGGCTTGTCATTTTAATACCAATATATCTTACATCAGTTATCCCGTTCCCAAACAAAGTTCATCAAAAAATTTTGCCAGAACTTTGCAGAAGTCTTATTTGACTGACGCCAAAATATCACACTTAGCATGGTGCGTCTCATTATGAAACACTGCAGCATTCTGTTAGAGATACGAATTTGAAGACCTGTAAATCATAACAATTGTGAAATCCGTTGCACACCAACTTTTCTCTAAAAAAGTGCGGAAAATCTGCCACATATCCTAACAATCGTAATGTTAGCACATAAAAAGTACAAAAACGTCAATAACAACAATGATGTATATCGTATTCCTACCGTGGCCATGAAAAAACATTGTTTTATCAAATGAGAGCTTTAGAACCGCATCTCAAATAAGTTCATCTGCGCGAAAGTCTGGCTTTGAAAATACGGGAGAGATTCGAGAGACGCGATTTCGACTGTCATTTGAGGATTTGCTGATAAACAAAAAGTTTGGTGTTAGATGCTTTTTGAGGGTTTTTTTCATTTTCAAAACCACTTTTTTGTATGCGAGGCAGTAAGATTGCAATGCCTTCTGTTATATATTTTGCTAGTCTGCCATACTACTGCATGATCTTAATACCTGATATCAACCTAGCGTCAGCCGAAATCGCAACTCTCGACAAACGCCCAAGACTTTTTGGGTCGGGATGCTGGAGTATCACATGCGCCTATAGGCAGTGTCCCGGCAGATTCCCGCCCTGAGGGATATTGCTATGGTAGGGTTCCTGGTCATCCCACTGACCTCCAGGCGCATTCCGGCTGGTTGATGTATTACCCCTGGGCTGAGAAAACAGGGCGCTATTCCAGTATCCGGGCCCCAAAATTTTTTGACATGGATTTTGCTGAAACTTGCCCCAGAGGGGTTATTCGGTCCGCTGATGCTGAATATCACATTGGTTTTGTACCGTAGCGTCATTTTCTCGGGTTACGGTAGGTACACGGTAAGGGATCCAAATTCCAGAATTCGCTGAAACTTGACCCAGGGGGATAATACGGCCCGCTGACGCCGAATCTCACATTGGTTTTGTACCGTAGCATCATTTTCTTGGGTTACGGTGGGTATACGGTACGGGGTCAAAATCTCAAAATTCGCTGTAACTTCGCACAGAGGGGTTATTCGACATGCTGATCGGAAGTTTTACGCTTTCTCCGCACGAAAACGTCTTCCTGCATGTTACGGTAGGTTTACATTAGGGGTCAAAATCATAAATCGAATGTATCCTTCCCTGTGCTTTGCTTAGGCAAAAGCCGCAGCAGGGTGTGTAGCGCGGCGGTGGTCGTGTTTGTAAAGCTTCACGATCGTCCGAATCGCCGTACACCTTTCAGGCAGAACTATGTTTTTCACCCGTTACCGTATACCTACCATAACCCGAGAAAATGAGGCTACGGTAGAAAACCAATGTGATGTTCGGCGTCAGCGGGCCGAATAACCTCCCTGGTCAAGTTTCACCGAATTCTGGGATTTTGACCCCTTACAGTGTACCTACCGTAACCCGAGAAAATGACGCTACGGTACAAAACCAATATGATATTTAGCATCGGCGGGCCGATTAACCCCTCTGGGCCGATTTTCGGCAAAGTCCATGCGAAAAAAATTTTGGGGCCCGGATACTGGAATAGCGCCGAAAATAGCCCTCGAACCGGCGCGCGCAATCCCAATCGCGCGCTCGGACGATTTCGCTTACCGTCCGGCGCGGGACCCCACAACCGCTCCCTCGCATTTTGCATGCTATCCAAAGCAAAAAATTACAGGCAGCAGGGTCTTCGTGCCAGGACTTCCCAACTTTTCATGGAAATTCTCGTCCGAGCTGCTTTTGAAAAATTGGGTATACGTTCCGGAAAAGGTCTTTTCACCCGTTTAAAAGCTCAAATTCGGGGTCTACGGGTCGAAAAGCCTCAGAATATGCAAAAGATGGAAATGCGAAATCTGCCGGGACACTGCCTTTATATCATCCTTGTGCACCTACCTATATTGGCCTTAAAGGCAACGTCCAGGCAGATCTGGACATATGAGGCTTTTACGTGGAAAGTACTTTTGGGGCCCTAACTAAGGCACTGCCCAAGCGGCAGCTCAGGCTCTAATGGCTGAGATAATCCCCTCGAAACTGGCCCCCGTGAACGTATTCGCATGGATTCATGGCAGTTTCGCGCCAGGATCCACGCTTAGCGCCATGAATCCATGCGAAACGGTCGCGGGGACCAGTTTCGAGGGGAATATCTCAGCCATTACAGCACTACCTGAGCTGCCGCTTGGGCAGTGCCTTAGTTAGGGCCCCAAAAGTACTTTCCACGTAAAAGCCCCATAGGTCCAGATCTGCCTGGACGCTGCCTTTAACATACAGCTTACGTTCAATAGTGTTTATCATCATATGTGTTGCATGTGTCTGTAGTGATTAGTTTAGATATGTGTTTTCTTCACCTTCCCAGAGGCAGTGCAAAACCGTAACCACACTGCGGCGCAAACTGCGTAGGCATCTGATCTTGATGTCTTGCCAACATCAAGGTCTTGATAAATTCACTAGACTATCTGATTTAGCTTTTAGATGATTGCGATTCCATCATGTCGCTTCCAAAACGACATCGTTTCGGAAGGCCCGCATCAAAATTTGACTTCCGTCCGCAATTAGTCGAAATTGCCTTCATGCACATTTTGTACCATCCGTTTTACTGAAGTGATCACGACACGAGCGGGTCAGATTCCGCGCGGCCGCCTCGACTGGACCTTGCATGCCTTCGCGAACGTGCTCTCTGGTCATCTTCCCACGCATATTAAGAAGTGTCGAAGATTAAAAGATGACAATTTTGCGACGCGGAGCAGGATCTAGGCGAGGCCGCCTTTCGAATCAGGTCCACTCCACATGAGACAGAAGGCACACTTTCACTGCGTGGGCAGAGCTTGTGCACCGTTCGCCGTTCAAGATGGCCAAGGTGCTTTTTGCGGCGGCGAAAGGTGCGGAATGGAGCGTCCAGTGTCATTCGACAGCGACTGGCGTATGCTTCACCAGCTAATAGTCCTTTTGGCTGGCGAACACTTTCATCCGCACTTTCCCATGGTCGAAGAATAAAATTCTGACTTTCATAAGCATAAAGCATATCGAATTGCGCATATCCAAATAATCTGCCTGTATTGCCATGGACAAGGCTGCGCATTAGAATGGATACGCTTTTATTGAGGTCAAGGAGTGCAGAATAGTTCACAATACCTTGTTTACCCGGCTCCGCTCGGCTCTGTCGAAACACTGTAATAAAGTTCCCATCTCTGTCCCTGTACAGCCTTTCCCTGTGCCCACTTTATACTTCATTTCCCGTTCCCCTGTGTTGTTTTCGAAATCAGCATGCCCACTTACCCCCTTGTGCCAACTCCCAGCCCTGTAGCTCAAACTTTGCAAAAAATCGATGAAATCGATAAAGGTAATCGATATTTTTGAATACTATTATTGTATTCGGAATCGCCATGCCCACTTACCCCCCCTCAGATAATCGCCGGGGGCAGGCGGGCACCGGAAAAATAGTTTGCTGATCTCTCGCACCCCGCTCGCGGATTTTTTGCAAAGCAATCAGGACTTTTCGGAAGACCGCTTGCTGAATTCTCGATTCCTCAGAGATTCAGCAATATATCTGCAAAAGATAAGAGCGAAAAAAATTCAACAGGCGGTCTCTCAAAAATCCGCTGACTTAGCGAGCGGTCTTCCGAAAAGTCCCGATTGCTTTGCAAAAAATCCACGAGCGGGGTGCGAGAAATCAGCAATCTATTTTTCCGGTGCCCGCCTGCCCCCCGCAATTATCTGAGCCTGTGCCAACTCCCAGCCTCTCAGACAATCGCCGGGGGCAGGCGGGCACCGGAAAAATAGATTGCTGATCTCTCGCACCCCGCTCGCGGATTTTTTGGAAAGCAATCAGGACTTTTTGGAAGACCGCTCGCTGAGTCAGCGGATTTTTGAGAGACCGCCTGTTGAATTTTTTTCGCTCTTATCTTTTGCAGATATATTGCTGAATCTCTGAGAAATCGATAACTCAGCAAGCGGCCTTCCGAAAAATCCTGATTGCTTTTCAAAAAATCCGCGAGCGGAGTGCAAGAGATCAGCAATCTATTTTTCCGGTGCCCGCCTGCCCCCGGCGATTGTCTGAGCTGTAGCTCAAACTCCGCAAAAAAAATCGATAAAATCAGTAAAATCGATATCGATCGATAACGAAAAGTAGCCTATGACACGCTCCCCGCCCCGAAGTATATGTGTGCCAAGTTTGGTCCGGATCGGTTGAGAAATGGAATTTTCTTGTCGGAACATACGTAAAGGCTGCTGCATGACGAAGGCGCAGAAGCAGTATAAGTTGAGCGGCGCGAATGCTGCGCGCATGTATCTTCACCGTTGTAAATCATGCGCCTCATGTGCTCTTCGGCTAATAAAGACGCATTCGCGCCCAAAGATATTGCGCCTTCGTCATGCAGCAGCCTATACAGACACACAGACAGACAAACAGACATTCAGCTTTATATATAAGATTAATCACTAAAGGCAGTGGCTCGGGAAAAAAACTGCGCGCTTTCTGTTCCTCCTTAGTCTTTTGGATCCCTTAGACCAGAGCTGTTCTTGAAAAGTCAAAAAGGTGCTTTTTATGGCGTTCTCCGGGCTTGGAATTGCTGAGGAGGCTGGAGCGGAGGTCCCCGCAGCCGCGTCGCGATTGGCTGCCTGGGCTAATCAGCCAGTTCCGCCAAAATGAGTGGTGTTACAGTCTCCTGCAGGCCGAAAAGCTCCATAAAAAGCACTTTTTTGACTTCCCAAACAAGCTCTGTTCTAACGCATCCGAAAGGACAAGAAGGAACAGAAAGCGCGCAGTTGCAATTTTCCCGAGCCAATGCCTTTGAAGGCAGCGAAAATCCGGGCAAAATTTCGAAAAAAATTTTTTCGCTTACCCGAACTTATCCTTCCCGCTGATTCCAAAGATGCATCTTGTGGAGTACAAAAGCGTCGAAAATGAGTTAATCCAGATTACGCTCATTTTGAATTCGACGCCTGCCGCCGAGGTTAAGACGCAGAGTCGTGGTCGGACCCTACGTCTTGATTGTGTGTTGTGATATTCGCGCTCTAACTTATCCTCAGACACTCGCGGTTGAGTCGCGCAGGGCAAAACGATGTGTCGTCAACGAATGCCTGGGCGACTCGCGAAATCGGTGTCGCGGCAAAATCAGGACACCTGATTTTGTGTCGCGGCAAAAGTGCGCGACAAAATCGGGGCAAAATCGGGACACCTGCGCGAGACACCAAAATGTCCCGATCGCGTTCAAAGCACGCGGCCCACTCCCTTATTTAACAGGTTTTTGCGTCTTCTGTGCCCTTTCTCACGCCTCCCTTTTCACTTATCTAACGTCCTTTATCTCTTTGGGTCCCGCTTCTTATGCTTGTAACTTTTCTGCTAATAAAACACAGTCTTACGTCGCGAAATAAAATAAAACACAGTCTTACGTCGCCAAGAAAAAACAAAACAAGGATGAAACCTAAATCATTTATTGAAAGTAATGTACTCAAACACACATTGACGCACTCATTAAAAAATCGACTTTCCGGGAGGTCTTTAAGATGGTCAAATTTGCCCTTATTCCCGCTCTGTCTACAGGTGTACTGTTGAATTTCCGTAGGTGGTTCGCAGGCCTAAACGGTGATTACAAGACAACCTTATCATCTTCATCTATTTGTCGCTTACATTTAGAAAGAAGTGGCGCAAAAAGTCGAGCACCAAAAGGAAATGATCATGCTTATGCGGAAAAATAATGAAAGAGTAACTGCTTAACAGTTACTCTTTCATTATTTTTCTTAGCAACCACAGTGTCCATTGGAGTATTCTCATCAGAGCCTCGCTCGTCGATCTTTGTCATCCCGTGTAGAACGGGCCTATAGAAAGAGAAATTACAATAATACAGCCCAAGACAAGCAAGAAAATGAGGCAGCCTCGAGAATTGAAAAAGGAGTAGCAGACTATATGAAAACATGTAAGCTCAGAATGCACAAGAAAAGAACTGGGAGAAGACAGATTCATCGAATAACAAAGGTAAAAAACAACTTGTAATGAAAGGGACAGCAGTTCATCAGGAAAAAAACTCCCTAGCTTTCTGACGCAATCCACGTACTTGACATAAAATAGGCGACTTTGGATGCAAAATTATACCTTACAGTACTAACGGTGATGATGAGAAAATCTTATCAATTTAGGAGATAGTTGAACACGAATATCAAGAAAAAACTTTTCACGTAGAAATTTTCAAAAAACTACAGCTAGCGCTTGAAAAATGCATTTATGACGAAAGATTTTGTACGAACAGTACAAAATAACAATTGAAAGTTTCAAATCAAAAGAAAGAGGAAAAGCAACAAATGCTGGGAAGAACTGACGTATAGGTGCATTATTTCGAAATCCCCTCGCCCGTCGCGACAAAATCGCACCAAAATCGGGACGAAACTAAAATGATGACTCGCGCCAGTCCACCGGATTTTGCTGCGAACGCCCATTTTGTGGGCGGATCCCCTGCGCGACTCAACCGCGAGTGTCTGAGTCGATTTATCCCTCGGTGAGCGGAGTCCGATCGTGTCGTAACTCTCCCCACTTCCGGAGCGTTTTTCTCGCTTCCGGTCCTATCAAATGTGGCGGCGAGTGGGCTAGTGGGTATGTCAGAGCGGCTACCGTTGCGCAGCAGTGAAACCCAAACCAACATAGTGCGGATACTGCCTCTAACAGCAATGTCTTCGTGCTTGTATCGTGTCGCATTCCGCTGCTGATAGAGGAGTGTAGTTCATGTAGATTGCTTCGCCTCCATCATCTTGTTATTCAGAATTCATTTCGGGCAAGAACAAACGACGTCAAGGACCAGACGGATGATACTGTCGTTGAGTTCGAGCTGAACGATCAGCCACTTGTTGAAGAAGAAACAACAGAGTCTTCGACCCCGGATGATTTAAACAAAGCTTTCTTTCTCGTGAATGAAGAACCAGATAACCGTCTTGATTAATATTATCTCTTCTAAACCTTAACCTGACGGGTTGTATGAATTTGCAAGAGTCAAGTATTTTTCTTATGATTCTTAAGCTTAGTCCACTTTGGCTTTCATGTGTATTACGCTTTTTCGGATCTCCAGCTGTGATAATGTTTAGGTATTGGGTTTCTCCTCTGTTTCGAATTATATACTTCCCAGTGATTTGATAAGTAATGCAGTGTCAGTTTAATTTGGGCTTACTTCTTTTCTTTTTAATGCCAAACCTTTGCTGCGATATTTCGACTAAAGGACTCATCCGGGTCTTCCTTCCAAATTTCTGGTTGAATTACTGAACGCTTAATAATCTCTTTATTTTCTCAGTCGGTATAAAACCGACGCTCAGGATGAGTTCATCCCAACTCGCTTGCAAATCTCTTCTCCATTCTACTTCAATATATTTGTGTTCGCACTTTGTAGTCAGCTTCTGAGATGTTCTTGGAAGTCTTACTTTGTGATTTAGCATCCAGAGAGCTTCATGTTCTCAATTCCCTTTGCTTGATATACATACAAATCAAAGTGAGCTCTAAGGACATGAAGTTCAAAGGAGTGCAATCTTCTACTGGTTCTTCACTGTGTTAAATGTAAATCAATGTTCGTTTTTTGCATACTTGTCTTCAAGCCATCTTCTGTGATCTAATACGTCAACGATGAGTTCCACCCGCCTATAAATTTTCAATCTTCATCCAAAAGTTTTGCATCAATGAAGATAGAAATTCTTTGCTATCTTGTTCAAACTGCATCGAGCTGATAGATTAGCTATCGTTGATTCGATGACCCCACGAACTGGCCAAACGCTGCGGACCACGCGGTGCGGCAGAATAATGCGAGAGCACGATTTGTACAATGACGTTTGTAGTGGAGCAAGCCTTTACCTTAGCGATACCTTTTACCTCACAGCGCGTGCTCCGTAGTGATGTCCAGTCCGTGCAGTTAACGAATGAACAGATATTCCTATAGTAAAGTTGAAGCGTGACTATCACTTATCGCTCGCAAGTTGAAGCGTGACTATCACTTATCGCTCGCTTTTTTCAAGGAATATCGCGATTTTAGGACGGCTGCAACTATTCCGAAAAAAAATTGTTCCCATATGAATCATCAATATGGCTGCCCAACACGTGAACTCCAGCAAAAAGTTATTCGAAGTTGACACGTTAAAATGATCGAAAGACAGGCATGTTGGTGGTTCAACTGAATTATAGAGTGCGCAAGGCGCAATTAACCGTGGACGTTAATTCGACTGTGAAACATGCGAAATTAGTCCGATCATTGCATTTGACGTGGGGAAATGTATTGCTTCATGATTTTGTGGTTTCTCTCTACTTTTTTTGATTCGTGCGCATCATTGCGTTCAATTGCTGAGCTGTTTATTCTGAATAGAGTGGAAGTGTCGCAAACCACGATCTTTTAGGATGTGACCGTTTTCTACGTCTTCCCCGACGCGAGTTTCGCGAATGCCACATTGAACATCGCGCTGTCGGGGGCGATCACATCTACGCAAGTCAGGAGAGCCGAAACGTGGACCTCTTCAACTGTTTCCGGACTATGATATTAACGATAGATACATGCGCCGCATGCCTCAGAATGGGGCCGGTCGAGGGCGCAGGAGATGTACACTGGATCCAGAGTCCAACATGCGACAACTGGTTGCACATGCAATGCATAAATGGGAAATGCCCCGGAGACGGGACTGTGTTACTTCCTTGAATCGAAATCCGTTGCCTTCAAACCTCAAACGCTGCCTTTATCTACATATCGCATCATCACATCATCATATTGATACGTTTCGTCAAGATTGGTCGTCATTTGTCATTTTGGTCAAAGTCAGTAGGTATCCAGTCTGAAGAATACTACGTATGCGATACACGTGCAAGATTCAATAAAGAACAATATGACAAAATCGCGTTTACAACAACTTTCTCAGAATTTGATGCCCTGTCCCCGACAGCGCGATGTTCATTGTGGCATTCGCGAGACTCGCGTCTGGGAAGACGTAGAATACGGTCACATCCCAAAGAATCGTGCTTTGCGACATTTCCACTATATTCAGAATAAACAGCTCAGGAATTGAACGCAATGATGCGCACGAATCAAAAAAAGTAGAGAGAAACCACAAAATCATGAAGCAATACATTTCCCCACGTCAAATGCAATGATCGAACGTAATTTCGCATGTTTCTGCAGTCGAATTAACGTCCACGGCTAATTTTGATTACGGTAGGTAGGAAGTGCCTTGTGCACTCTATAATTTAGTGGTGGTTCATATGGCCCCGGGCAGACTTCACGCGATTTGATCGTCGCGACTGAATCGCGAGGAGACAACTGTTACAACATCATTCCATGCAGATCAACTTGCATTCGGTTGTGATACTTTTCCAGACCGAAATTTTTGAATGTGAAATGAAAATGAATGGAAATCTTGGCGATTTGGTCGCGACGATTAAGTCGCGTGAAGTCTGACCGAAGCCTATGGGAACGACTGGCTCGCATCAGCGTTAAAGGTACCGTACATCGAAATTCTCGATTTCCAGATTTTTGTCGTTCCGGGGTCTTTTCATGGCCTATGACAGGAACATTTGTATAACATTATCAAGTGGGATTCGTCGTTGAGAGTAACTTCCGAAGTAATACGATACTGACAGGGTTCCTTCATACTACGCCGCGTACGCCACATACGCCGCTGCAGCGCAATGGAAATATGCTCACGACAGCAGAGCTCCACTTTTTTTGATGTATCTCTATACTTGCTGCACATTCTTGTCCCTCAATAGTGTTTCTTCACATTATGCATTTCTTCTTCTCTTTTGCTTTGTTTATCCTGTCTATCCTTTGTCTATATCGATGACTAGCTGGCTTACCCGGCTCCGCCGTATGTTCCGAATAGAAAATTCCATTTCTTAACCGATCCGGACCAAACTTGGCACACATACCCTTCGGGCCCCGGCGGGTGTCACAGTCCACTTTTCGTTATCGATCGATGTCGATTTTATCGATTTTTTGCAAAATTTGAGCTACGGGGCTGGGAGTTGGCAGAGGGGTGTAATCGAGCATGCTGATTACGAATACAATATTAGTTTTCGAAACCGTGCATTACTTTAATCGATTTTATCGATTTCTTTGCAAAATTTGAGCTAAGGGGCTGGAATTTGGAAAAATTTGAATTTGAATTACACCCCCCTGCCAAATTCCAGCCCCTTAGCTCAAATTTTGCAAAGAAATCGATAAAATCGATAAAAGTAATGCACGATTTTAAAAACTAATATTGTATTCGGAATCCCCATGCTCACTTACCCCCCTGTGCCAACTCCCAGCCCCGTAGCTCAAATTTTGCAAAAAATCGATAAAATCGATATCGATCGATACGAAAAGTAGCCTATGACACCCGCCGGGGCCCGAAGTGTATGTGTGCCAAGTTTGGTCCCGATCGGTTCAGAAATGGAATTTTCTATTTGGAACATACGTACAGACAGACAGACAGACAGACAGACAGACATACATACAAACAGACATTCAGCTTTATTGATGGAATGACTTTGTTGTGCTCCTTCTACTTTTGAGTTTCACATTTTGCATCGTAACTGACTTTGTTGTGCTCCTTCTACTTTTGAGTTTCACATTTTGTATCGTAACTGACTGCACATTGCGTCATCTGGTTGTATATTGGTAGTATATGGTTGCATGTTTGTATGTTGTATCTGGTTGTATATTTGCGCTGTTAACATCTCCTTACAAACACATCACGGGATGAAAAAGATTTCTCTTCTTCATATTTCCATATTTCCATTGCGCTGCAGCGGCGTACGCGGCGTACGTGGCGCACGCGGCGTACGTGGCGTGCGCGGCGTGCGCGGCGCACGCGGCGTAGTATGAAGGAACCCACAGGGAAAGGCATCTTACTTGGGTCGGCCTTTTAAGAAGGATACATATAGTTGAAATCAGTTTGAAAGCTGATTTCAAGTCTGCCTTCCGTAGCTGCGAAGCATTACTCTGAAGCGAGTTGAGTGTTTTTTCTTGAGCAAAGTTTGCGTGCTGACCGACTTAGGCATGCTACGGTATCATCATCTAAATAGTGGTTCAGTTGAGAGTATTTCTCTGAAGTTTGCAATCTTTTTCTTTTCTTTTATCTTTCCTCATCATCGGTCAAATGATTCATACAGGTTTTGATTTAAACTTTCTCGCTCTAATTTGTTGTCATCAATAACTTTAGTGCGTTACTTTGTTTGTTTCCACTCACGAGGTACTAGATTCTTGTCCTTTCATCGAAATTTCATCGAGCGATGTAAGGAACCTTTGTCAACAACAAAACACTAGAATTAGGTTTTGCCTATTGCAGTCAGTCATGATGCAAACTGTCAAAATCAAAAGTCTAGGGAGCACACGAATTCAAAATGATTGCAGAAACATCCGATTAACGATGAGACAAGTTAAAAGAGAAGATTAACTCTGAAGGAATACTTTCGGAGAACACGAACGAGCAGCGATATAGAAATCATTGATGAACAGCATGCTGCCATGAGCGTATTCCACTGTGACTGCAGCGGCGTACGCTGCGTGCTGCGGCGTAGTGCGAAAAACCCTATCAAAGCCAAATGACTCAATTTGATGTTATTTCGATTTTCCACCACTTTTTGGGCAGATTTTCATCTAAAGGCCCTCTTTCCATATTCAGTTATATGTCAATGAACATACTAAAAAGCTCATAACTCGCCTCAGAGCAATGGGTTGTTTCATACTGCAGTCGCTGCAGCAGCTGCAGTTATATTGGGGCGGGCAAAAGATATCAATCGATCGACTGCCGTCGCTGCAGCGACTGCAGTATGAAACGACTCAATGCTTTGCAGCTACGGACAGCATATTTGAAATCAGCGTCTCAAGCTGATCTCGAATAAACACGTCGTTTTTCAAAAGGCTGACCTAAGCTAAGGGAACGGCCATAGGTTGCCGGCAACGGTTGCCGAGGTTGCTGCAACGGTTGTCGAGGTTGCCGGCTACGATTGCCGAGGTTGTCGGCGTTGCTCGTCGTTGTCGGACCTCTCTGTGTCTCATGTGTTCTCTAAGCGGCAACCCCTGCAACCGCTGCCGGCAACCTATGGCCCTTGCCTAAGTTAGGTGCCTTTCTTTGTGAATACAACAGAAGTGAGACGCTATTTTTTACATGATTCTGAAAATGAGAAAGAAGAAGTGCTATTGGGAGAAAGGAGGTGCGCTATTGGTGAATATACCGCTAGAATGAGGTCATCATGAACAGTCAGGTATAGAGAGCACTACATTTCCTGCCTAATATAGTGTCCCTGCAGACGCGACAACGCTTTGCGTCAACAGTCGCCATCACGAATTTCCGAGAGGGTCTTTTGTTGTTTTCTTTGCTTATTCTTTGATAAAGGAGAAAAGGTACCTATTAGAAAGTAGTTTCTGTCTTCTGAATAGTTGTTTTAAGCGCTTATTCTTAATTATATACCCTTTGATTCAATGAGATTGGCGGCGAAGGCAATGGCTCACGCCCGCAACGCAGTCTGCGTCTCACTAGCAATCGTGCTCTTATCATTCTCTAGCCTTAACTAGGTCACGAAGCCCCGCCTTCCAGCCGCAATTCAGTTGAATCAAATGGTACGTGGGAACCACTCGCGTCAGTTCATGTGTATTTTTTGTCACTTTATGCCTCTTTCTCCACAATGGTCGGCCGTCTCACGTGGGGTGAGGGTGACGCTGGGTGTAGAACTGCGATGCACAGCCGGGTGTATACTCTGACAGGGCCTCCCAAGCTGTGAAGGAGTTCGACGTTTCCGGTTTTGGTCGGATGCCTAGCTAGGAGGCGCCGGGTGGTAGCAAGAACGATGTCAGGTCCTCAGAGCGCCTTTTGGACTGGACAAAAACGACGACACGTCTGCCCGGCCGACACGCTATGGAGACTGCCTCATGCTCTGCACCTACAACGCCAGGACATTCTCCACAAACGCCGACCTCCACGCTCTTTTCGACGCTGCAGAGCACTCAAGTATAGGGCTCTGCAGGATCGCGAGAGTCGGTGAGTTTGCGGCCACTGCGCACGCAGGATGCTTCAAGGCCTCAAACCACTCAAACAATCCTGTACTTTTCGGAATCGCCTCAAGTAATTGTAAGCTTACATCTGATAGCAGAAAAACTTCCAAAAGGAAAAAGAAAACCGAGAAAGCTCAATGCGCGAACAATGGCCGCAACCTCACCGACACTCGCGATCCCGCAGGTCCCTTTACCAAATCATCGCTCTGCAGGAAACGAAGTCCAGGAGGAAGGACGTGCGACAGTTGAGTGACGGGACCCTTATCATTCGTGATGAAGAGGTTCCATCATGAAACGTTGGAGGCCTTGGCTTTGTCGTCCACCCATCTATCGTTCATCTTGTCGATTCGCATGCAATCCTACCATCTCGAGCCATCCTTAGATTACGACCTCCACATCAGGAGACCATCAGCATTGCTACTCACCAACATCAGCAGCTGACGACTCAGAACTGGATGCTTTCTACGAAGACGTGGAGGAGGTCGTCCGAACGAGAACTTCTACAAGTTTGTTGTGGGCGACTTCGAATTGGAACTGACTGTAAGGCACGCGCCGTACTTGATGCGCTTGATCTACTTGATCCGCTTCACTTCGCTATTGGTCACAGTGAGTTGACTAATAACGAAGGACCATACTGAGAAAAAGAGAAGAAAACAAAAAACAAACATTTTAGAAGGGGCAACACAGGCGATAGTCAAAATCCACCATAAGAGATGGTCATCGCCTTTCTTGAAACCCTCTTGAGTCTTCAAGAAAGGCGACGACCATCTCTTACGGTGGATCTTCACTACCGCCTGTATTGCCCTCTTCTGCATGCAACTGAATGATTTTGACATTAGAAAAGCGTCAGGGACGGAGGTGTGAGTGTTTTTGTACTTCGTTTCACATTGATTGAAGCCAGTTTGTTTTGAGCATACAGTTACCACACGAGCATAATTGCTACCTGTCTCCGTCTCGACCTAATATTTCCAGAATTGTTCCAGAGTTTCCCGCTTCCTCCACCTACCCGTTCGCCTTCTCATATTATTTACCTAATAAATAGAGGTTCCATGTAATGCTGGCACAAGCTGTTGCCGGAACGATAGCCGGTTGCGTGGGATGTCAGGCAGGGGTCGAGTTGCTGCAGAAGTTAGTTTTTTTCTTCATCTCTTTAATTTGAAAATTTGTGTCCTTGATTGATGAACACATTTATAGAGAAGTGAAAAATAGCCTGAATCTTTTGACTTTGGCAACATGTGTATTCGTATCCTTGCAAGGCCTTATATTTCACTCAAAAATGTTGACAGTTCGACAGGAAATCCCAACTCGGTGAGTATATTATTGGGTTATAGGTATCTTCGTACGTCCAAAATACTTGACGGATAAGCGAAAGCTTGCCAAACTCCAGTATGGTCTGCCGGTTCTCCACAACTCTCAGTTTTTTAAGGGTATATCTCAAAATCGTAATTATCTTCTTCATTGTGAATCTCTGCAATAACACTGCTATCAAATGCGATATATATTTTCCATTATTCATTATTTTCAAGTCGGTGAGTCTAATTCCTTCATATTCGTCTCTCACTTTCCTAAAACAAGCAATTTTGTTATGATAGCTGTTGAGGGTTCATTACTTGCAAACATCTTGTTTGGACTTCTTTTGAGAGGTCATAGCTATACAACAAGGGAGATATTTTCTGTATTCGTTGTTACTGGTGGCATTGTTATTTTCACTTTGGCTAGCTACGAGAACAAACCATCAGATCCAAGCTCTACATTTGACTTTTTTGGAATACCGCCGTTCTTTATAGGTGAGCTTCTGTCTCAAAGGCCCGGACAGACTTCGCTTAAGAGCGCTCAAAAGCGCCCAAATTTCTCTAACCTCTCTTCACTTTCCCTGTCCCTCCTCACGCGAGAAAGTTAAGAGAGGTTAAGGAAACCTGGGCTCTTTTAAGCGCATTCCAGCGAAGTCTGGACAAGGTCAAAAACTTCCTCAGTTTCCACAGCTTCTTTTCATCTCGTCTTACATTGAATGTGACTGATGCTTTGCTAGAATCTTCAGGAGTTGCATTGCTCAGCATAGCACTGATGTTGAGCGCATATCTGGGAGTTTGTCAAGAGGAAATGTATGCAAGATATGGCAAGCATGCTAAGGAGTCGATGTTCATGGTGGTTAGTTCAATTAAGATGTGGATCCGGCGATGTAACTCTATAGCTTATCAACAAATGATTTTTACAGCATACTCTTTCTATACCTGGATATGCGTTACTTGGTGGAGAAATTATCCAAGCTTTTCATGCTGCTAATACGACTGAGCCATTTTCTCTTCTCGGTTACGATCTGATAGTTCCTACGGCATGGGTATACATCGTTGGGATATGTGTTTTACAGTAAGTCAATAAATTTTGTAATTAGCCACTACAACTCGTGACAAAAGCACGGTTTTCTCATTTAGATACGTGTGCATTGACAATGTCTATCGCCTTACTGCGCTTACTACCTCACTAAATGTAACTATGGTTATATCAGTTCGGAAGTTTCTCTCGTTGTTTGTTTCATTTGCAGCTTTTGGCAACCCTTTCAATATATTCCATTTTTGTGGTGCATTCTTCGTTTTTGTTGGATCACTTATGTTTTCGAAAGTCTTATAGCTTTTCTAGCGGATCTCGTACCTTTCCTTCGAAATTGAGAAGTGTCACTCAATTAGAAAAAGTGAAGGTCTTCTTAGTTGCATTATCTCAATGTGATGTTTTGCACTAGTCCTTCAGATAAAGATATCTCAAGGCTGTATTCACTATCAAAATTTAGATTTAAAAAAAAACAGTCCAATTGTACACTCAGAAAGTCCGGAATGGAAGAATGTCTCCAATTATTGACTCAGAGATAAGCTTAACCCCATTTCCACGCGTACAAGGCGCGTGGGATTTTTTCCAGAATCGATCAGCCTAAACACGCCAAAGGAACTCGCCATCAATGGACGCTATACCGTGCTGAATATGCTTGAGAGAATCGTGCGGCATTGAGATGGCTCTCCGAAACAAGTGAAATGGCTGAGCGGCTCGCTTGAGATATCGAAAAAGTTGCGCCTTTCTGCGTGAAATCAGGGTTTTTGGTATAGACCAGGCTGGTACCCCTACGTTATCTAAGTAACTATTTATTGGATAGTAGCGGAGCAGCCGCTGATTATCAACAGTGAATTTGCGCAACAACCGTTTACGATAGTGGTAATAATCGAACTAACACCAGAAATGAGCATTCAGCCCCTTTTACGCCACTGTTTTGGGCGTGGATAACCTGAATACTCAATTCTGGCAGGCGACAGTACCATACAGAATCAAGAATTGCCTACAGGGAACATGGAAATAGCGCCGCCCAGTAGACTATTGAGCGCATTGAAGGGGTGACTTGACGGCTTAGGTCAGTGAACAGTAACGTTTGTCAACGACAAGCTACTGAATATATAACATACATGATTAATCTACAGTAATAAAGGTGCTAGATTGTCTACTAGGAGAACCGCGCGACGGTTGGCTGCCGTTTCTGAACACATAGGATGAGCAGTGGAGCGGTCCAACAGATGTCGTAAAGGCAGAAATAAGAACACTATGTTGCACGCGAAATCCGCACACCCAGAAGCTGTCAAACGCGCCTTCGTATTTGATATGGTCAAAACAGCGGCGAAGGTTTGTAGTGGAAGACGAAAGGCGGGAATCACTGAAGCTGGCAGCCGAAGCCATAGCTTCGAATGGATATGTTGTGCGATCCGGACGTTCGAAAAGAAAAGTTGTAAACCCAAGCCAACAAGCTACTACTAGAGTAACTTTGTGCTTGCCTTTTATCTGCGAAAGCGTCAGCCGCAATCAAACTATGTCTGATACAAGCACAGCTTGAGAAAGACGTAGTTATCAGCATTCCGCGAGACAGCATCAGGAAGTTGTCAGTGCGTAGTAGACTCTTAGACAGAGCTTGTATCACATCTTGTATCTTGCGAGGGTGCTCTAATTTAGGCTGTATCTTGGAGTAAGCTTTATAACCGCATAAGTGGAAGAAACACGGAAGTGTTAGAGGCAATTTTTGAAAATTCATGTTATTTTTCTGGTCTCTAGACATTGGAAACGTATTTTATATGTTTAATTTGGGGAGTTATGCATGTAAGAGTGTTAGACTCGCAAATTTTCTCCGGATGAGACAAGATTTTTTTTCAGATCGGGCATATTTTAGTTCGCAAATATTATTCGGAGTGAGGGGGGGGGGGGGGGAGAGAGAAAATTTTTGCACTCCAAGAAAATTTTCAAAATGCTTCCCAAATTGTTTACACGCTTACAATCTTCAGATTCCAAAAAAGCAAATCTTTTTTCAGTGTCTTTGTATTCTCGTTAAATCCACAAAATACAATAAAGACATACAAAACAAATAATACAAACAATAACAGATAATACACAAAAGACTTGCGAAAAGCCATGAGTAGTTCCAACCTACTGTTGCGGCAAGATAGTCCAAACGTTCATCTACTGCAAGATCCGGGCCACTTGGAGCAAATTTCAGGCTTGGTAGACCCCCTTTTTTGCTCCGGACTTCACTCATCGCTTCGGTAGGGGGCCTTCTTTAACATCACCACAAAATCCCGGCATCCATCCTTTTGCCGGGACGCTGCCTTTAGGCAGGAGATTTACTCAATTGTAGGGCACTCGCAATTGATCCGCTTGCTCCACTTCTTAGATGATCGCCGGGGGCAGGCGGCCATGCGATCTATGTGAGGGCGGGCCCCGGAAAAATAGTTCGCTGATTTCTTGTGGTCCGCTTGCATTCTTGTGGTCCGCATTCTCGCAGACTTTCCGCGGCTGAGAGAAAATGCCTCAAACTTGAGTAATTAAACCGTCGATGACACCTCTGCTATGTAGAGTTTTACCTTTGCTTGGCGTACGCCCGAAAACTGCTTAAAAACTGCCCGAGCGCCAGCTGGAAATTTGACCAGCGCTCGCTGAAAGAGATTATTCGACGAGCGCCTGCAGAAAACTCTGTGTTGCTGCCGGCTGGCAGAACATTAGACAGTGAAGGAAGTACCGCTCGCTAAAGGTTTGGCCACGCCCCAAAATTCTGCTGACCGCTTGCAGAGAAGCGCGAGTTTGCGGACCGCCCGCCCCGGCGATTATCTGAGTTGATACGCTTCATCCACTTCGCTATTGGTCAAGTCAGCAAACTGACCAATGTCGAAGTGATCAAGTGGATCAAGTGGAACATCCGCTTCGTTATTGGTGAATTCACTGGATTGACCAATGACAAAGCGGACCAAGTACTCAGATAATCGCCGGGGGCAGGCAGCCATGCGAATTTTGAGCAAGCGGGCACCGGAAAAATAGTTCGCCGATTTCTTGCGGTCCGCTCGCAAAAATTTGGAATAATTTTGGCTGATTCTCAGACGAACGCTCGGAGAACTATCGCGGTCTTTCTACCTATGAGTTGCGGCCCAGCGGCCGCATTCTCAGATAATCGCCGGGGGCAGGCGGTCCGCAAACTCGCGTTTTTCTGCAGGCAGTCAGCAGAATTTTGGGGAGTGGCCAAACCTTCAGCAAGCGGTACTTCTTTTACTGTCTAATGTTCTGCCAGCGGGCAGCAACACAGAATTTCCTGCAGGCGCTCGTCAAATAATCTCTTTCAGCGAGCGCTCGTCAAATTTTCAGCTGGCGCTCGGACGGTTTTTAAGCAGTTTCGGGTGTACGCCGAGCAAAGGTGAGACTCTACATGGCAGAGGTGTCATCGATGGTTTAATTACTCAAGTTTGAGGTACTTTTCCTCAGCGGAAAGTACCTGGGGCTGCGCAGTCCTCCACAAAGAACCCCTCGAAAATTTTGCATATTCTCGCGGAAAGTCCGCGAGAATATACAAAATTTTCGGGGGCCGCACGGTCCTTTGTGGAAGACCGCGCGGCCCTCAGGTACTCTCCGCTGGGAAAAAGACCTCAAACTTGAGTAATCAAACCAACGGTGACACCTCCGCCACACAGTCTTACCTGTGCTCAACGTAAGCCCGAAACTGCTTAAAAACCGTCCGAGCGCCCGCTGAAAATTTGACCAGCGCTCGCTGAAAGAGCTTATTTGACGAGCGCTTGCAGAAAATTCTGTGTTGCTGTCCGCTGGCAGAACATTAGACGATAGAGGAATTACCGCTCACTGAAGGTTTGGCCACGCCCCAAAATTCTGCTGACCGCGTGCAGAAAAGCGCGAGTTTGCGGACCGCCTGCCTCCGGCGATTAACTGAGCGGGGGCAGGCCCGCAAACTTGCGCTTTTCTACAGGCGGTCAGCAGAATTTTGGGGCGTGGCCAAAACTTCAGCGGATGGCACTTCCATTAGGGTCGCATATTCTGCCAGCGGTCAGCAATAGAGCATTTTCTGCAAGCGCTCGGCATTTTTTAGCGAGCGCCGGCCAAACTTTCAGCAAGCGCTCGGACTTTTTTAAGCAGTTTCGGACGTAACCGAGCTGAGATGAGACTCTATGTGGCAGAGGTGGCATCGATGGTTTAATTACTCAAGTTTGAGGTACTTTTCCTCAGCGGAAAGTACCTGGGGCTGCGCGGTCCTCCACAAAGAACCCCTCGAAAATTTTGCATATTCTCGCGGACTTTCCGCGAGAATATACAAAATTTTCGGGGGCCGCACGGTCCTTTGTGGAAGACCGCGCGGCCCTCAGGTACTCTCCGCTGGGAAAAAGACCTCAAACTTGAGTAATCAAACCAACGGTGACACCTCCGCCACACAGTCTTACCTGTGCTCAACGTAAGCCCGAAACTGCTTAAAAACCGTCCGAGCGCCCGCTGAAAATTTGACCAGCGCTCGCTGAAAGAGCTTATTTGACGAGCGCTTGCAGAAAATTCTGTGTTGCTGTCCGCTGGCAGAACATTAGACGATAGAGGAATTACCGCTCACTGAAGGTTTGGCCACGCCCCAAAATTCTGCTGACCGCGTGCAGAAAAGCGCGAGTTTGCGGACCGCCTGCCTCCGGCGATTAACTGAGCGGGGGCAGGCCCGCAAACTTGCGCTTTTCTACAGGCGGTCAGCAGAATTTTGGGGCGTGGCCAAAACTTCAGCGGATGGCACTTCCATTAGGGTCGCATATTCTGCCAGCGGTCAGCAATAGAGCATTTTCTGCAAGCGCTCGGCATTTTTTAGCGAGCGCCGGCCAAACTTTCAGCAAGCGCTCGGACTTTTTTAAGCAGTTTCGGACGTAACCGAGCTGAGATGAGACTCTATGTGGCAGAGGTGGCATCGATGGTTTAATTACTCAAGTTTGAGGTACTTTTCCTCAGCGGAAAGTACCTGGGGCTGCGCGGTCCTCCACAAAGAACCCCTCGAAAATTTTGCATATTCTCGCGGAAAGTCCGCGAGAATGCGGCCACTGCACTGCAGCTAATCTGCAAGGAAACCGCAATTGTTCTCCAAGCATTTGTCTGAAAATTGATCAACATTCTTTGATTGCGGCCCCAACAATTTTGCATAATCTTGCGAATGGTCCGCGACACTGCGGCCGCCCACTGGGCCGCAACTTATCTATAGAAAGAGCGCGATAGTTCTCCGAGCGTTCTTCTAAAAATTGGCCAAAATTACCCCAAATTTCTGCAAGCGGAGCGCAAGGAATCAGCGAACTATTTTTCCGGTGCACACTTGCTTAAAATTCGCATGGCCGCCTGCTCCCTTTGCAAAAAATGGTGTATTGCTGCCCGCTGGCAGAATATTCGACCGCAAAGAAGTGCCGCTGAAGGTTTGGCTACCCCCCAAAATTCTGCTGACCGCCTGCCCCCTGCGATTATTTGAGTATAGGGCGTGCCTGTCATCGTATAAGTGACCAAGCTAAGAGGTACGATTGACCTTAGGTACTATACGATTGACCTTTCACGGGGCCATAAAAGCATGGCCCGTGTTTGGTTAACCGCTACTTGCGGTATAAAAGCAGGGATGGTGCTAGATAAGGGCTTCACGTCTTTGATCCGTTGCTTTTCTCTCTACCACACGTTTTGCAAAAAAATTATTGTTGTTAATAACACTCGTGAGTTAATAAACCGTTGTACCTACCACCGTTGTAACAGTGCCTAGTCTTCAAACTCAGCTTTGTGAGCAAAAGGTGCAGGATGTACGGCAAATAAGTTGCGTACAGTGACACCACACCATCGAATTATGAGGCTGGACCATGCTAAGAAAAAGAGAAAAACAAAAAGAACTATTCTAGAGGGGGAAACTTAGGCGATAGTGAAGATCCACCGTAAGAGATGGTCACCGCCTCCCTTGAAGCCCTCTTCTGCATGCAGTTGTATGATTTTGATATCCGAAAACGTCAGGGACGGAGGCGTGAATGTTGTTTGCACTTTATTCCATAATGATTGAAGCCACCGTTGTTTTGAGCATACAGTTACCACAGAAACATTCACTAACGCTGTCTCTGTCTCGATATAGAATCTTAAAAATTGTTTTCAGGGTTTCTCCCTTTCTCCACGTCGCAGTTCCCCTTCTCATATCATTCACCTAATAAATAGGAAGGAGCTTCCATGTAGTGCTGGCCCAAGCTGTTGCCGGAACGATAGCCGGTTGCGTGGGATGTCAGGCAGGGGTCGAGTTGCTGCAGAAGTTAGTTTCTATTTTTCTACTAGCTGGCATACCCGGCTCCTCCCGGCCCTGTCAAAACATTATGTTAAAGGTTAGTATTCCTACTCCTGACAAACTTTCCATGTGCTCACTTCTAATTGCCATTCTCTATCGTCGTTTTGTTCTCGTAATCAGCATGCCTCCCCGCTTACCTCCTTTGATTCCCTTCCCTGGAGATCAACTTTGCAAAAAATCGATAAAATCGCTAAAAGATACAAATAGTTCTGAAAACTAATATTGTGCTCGACCAGCATGCTCACTTACTCCATCTCCCCCCCCTGTGCCAACTCCCAGCCCCGTAGCTCAAACTTCAAAATTCGATGAAGTCGATAAAAACAACAATAATTTCAAAAACCAATACTGTACTCGTAATCAGCATGCTCGATTACCGCCCTGTGCCAACTTTCAACCCCGCCAGACTTCACCAAAATTGATAAAAGTCGATAAAATCGATGTCAATCGATGACGGAAAGTAGCCTACGACCCCCACCACGCCCCCAAGCGTATGTTCCAAGTTTGGTCCGGATCGGTTTAGAAGTAAAAATTTTTATTCGGAACATACGTACACACACAGACAGAAAACAGACGTACAGACATACAGACATAGACATACAGACATATAGACAGACAGACATTCCGCTTTATGTAAAAGATTTGGCCACGAAAGTAGACAACTTTATATCCAAAGTCCTGCAACCACTACAGCTTGTCTCATTCGCAGTGTCCCTCTCCCATTGGCATGTGTTGCGCCAGAGCCTAGCCTCATGTTAGCGCTAGTGCGCTCCTCATGTACAGCACATTTCGTCCTGAGAAGGCGCTCCAAAAGTCCTCCAGCCCCGCCAACTTCCGTTGAAGGGTGTCATTATGCCCTTCTGAAGCGCGTTTCCAGTGATCCATTTTGCCAAGCAGCTGCCTTTGAGACAGACGTGAATTGAATGCAGTTCGAATTATGAAAATGAAAGAGTTTGGTGTTGTTATTTTTGCTCGATATTTTCCAAAGACTTATCGCTTTACGGAAGCGTACGGATATATCAATATTTGAGGAATTTTTAGAAAAAAATCAAAAATGCCTGTATCTCGCTCTAGAGACATCCTGGGACCTTGCGTCAAAAATACGTATATGGTAAATTCCAATAAATTCAAAAACTTCTGGAGGAACGGTTTTTTCTGAAAATATTTATGGTATGTTAACCCACATATATAATGTGTGAATGAAAAATTTCAACAATCTATTCTAGCTCTATCAGAACCTGAGATTTAAAAAAGTGTTACATAAATAAAATATTTTAGTTTAGACCTCGCCAAAATATTCAAATTGTTGTGGAATTTATAGAAATGATCAGTGTACTCTTTCAATACGTTTAACGTGGCATTAGCACTCGAATTATTTTAGGAAGGCTGTTTTGTAATTAGCGCACTCGCTTATCCCTTACCGAATTCCAGTCCCAGATGACAAATATTTTGGCGGGACTGAGGATGAGAAATAAAGATTACCTCGTTTGACAGCGTACCAACTTAGACCTTTCTAATCCGAGGTTCTAAAAAAACAAAGTATTGAATATATCACAAATAGTTACTACATTCGTAATCAGCATGCTCAGTTACCCCACTGTGCCAACTCCCAGCGGCGTAGCTTGAACTTTCCAAAAAATCGATAAAATCTATAAAAGTAATGGATGATTTTAAAAACTAATATTGTATTCGTAATCAGCATGCTCGATTACCCCCTGTGCAATCTCCCAGCGGCGTAGCTCAAACTTTGCAAAAAATCGATAAAACCGATAAAAGTAATATTGAATATTATCACAAATAGTTACTACATTCGTAATCAGCATGCTCAGTTACCCCACTGTACCAACTCCCAGCGGCGTAGCTTGAACTTTCCAGAAAATCGATAAAATCGATAAAAGTAATGGATGATTTCAAAAACTAATATTGTATTCGTCAGCATGCTCGATTACCCCCTGTGCAATCTCCCATCCCCGTAGCTCAAACTTTGCAAAAAACGATAAAATCGATATCGATCGATGACGAAAAATAGCCTATGACACGCTCCCTGCCCCGAAGTGAATGTGTGCCAAGTTGTTCGGATCGGCTCAGAAATAAAAATTTTTATTCGGAACATACATACATACAGACAGACAAACAGACATTCAGCTTTATATATAAAAAGATGTAAAAGTTTGTGCTCTTGATTGATGAAAACATAATTATAGGGAAGTGAAGAGTAGCCTGAATCTTCTACCGTCTGCGCCCCGGAGAGGTTCCCATGTGAACCAGCGTGCGTACGTGGTGCGAAGCTGCCTTTCGCTCTTTTTGACACGTTTCTCATGAGATTTCAACGGAAGCGCCCGAGGTTAACACGTTCAAAAGTGCGAAAGGCAGCGAGATGACGTGGTACCTATGAGAACCTCTCTGGGGCGCAGACGATAACTTTGGTAACATGTATATTCGTATCTTTGCAAGGTCTTATAGTCCACTCAAAAATGTTGACAGTTCGACAAAAAATCCCAACTCGGTGAGTATAATAGGTCAGGTTATAGTCGTCTGCATACGCCAAAATACTTGGCGGATGAGTAAAAGCTTGCCAAGCTTTAGTATAAGTTTGACGGTTTTCCACAACCCTCAATGTTTTTTTAGGGTATATCTCAAAATCGTAATCATTTTCTTCGTTGTGAATCTCTGCAATAACACTGCTATCAAATGCGATATATATTTTCCATTATTCATTATTTTCAAGTCGGTGAGTCTAATTCCTCCATATTCGTCTCTCACTTCCCTAGAACAAGCAATTTTGTTATGACAGCTGTTGAGAGTTCATTACTTGCAAACATCTTGTTTGGACTTCTTTTGAGAGGCCATAGCTATACAACAAGGGAATTATTTTCTGCGTTCGTTGTTACCGGTGGCATTGTTATTACTACCTTGGCCAGCTACGAGGACAAACCATCAGCTGCAAGCTTCACATTTGACTTTCTTGGAATACCGCCGTTCTTCATAGGTGAGCTTCTGTCTCGGAAACTTCCTTGTAGTTTCCACAGCTTATTTTCATCTCGTTTTACATTGAATGATGACTGATGCTTTGCTAAAATCTTCAGGAGTTGCATTGCTCAGCACAGCACTGATGTTGAGCGCATATTTGCGAGTTTGTGAAGAGGAAATGTATGCAAGATATGGCAAGCATGCTAAGGAGTCGATGTTCATGGTGGTTAGTTCAATCTGTTTAGATGTGGATCCGGCGATGTATTAGGTTATCCCAAAAGTAAACCGTATTTTTGTACAAATCAAACTGCTCTTGTTTTTCTGGCAGACTTGGGGCAGCATTCAATAGAGCGAAGCAAGCTCTACAAGACGACCACCAAAGAACCGTCTAAGTCGCTATCCAGGTAAAATTTGGATCCAAAAATCAAAATTTTTCAGCTACCTCAAAAATCGGATCTCCTTCCAGAAAATTCCTACAGACTTCCAACTTGGTCCTTATATAGTAGACACATAGTAGTATCGAAAAATAATTCTGGTTGAATAATTTCCACGTACTCTTTTCTTTAAACCTGGGCATGATGTATCGAATATTGTATAGTGTTGCTCTGCCAACCAGGTTTTGTGGTGGATCTTTATTCTTGACCTTACGTTTCGACAATTACCGTCTTCTTCGGAGGTCTGAAAGGGAATTGCGTTATGAAAGAGGTTATGTTATCTGTTAGTCTACACGACCAAACGCCTCGTCAGGCTTCCGTCGTTTGAACCTTGTCGAGGCGCAACGTGCCGAGAAACAATCCAAAATGGATTCACCAACCTCTAATCCACCATGGAGTTAGTAGTCCGCACGAGTGTGACCTTTCAGACCTCCGAAGAAGACGGTAATTGTCGAAACGTAAGGTCAAGAATAAAGATCCACCACAAAACCTGGTTGGCAGAGCAACACTATACAAAATTCTGGTTGATTTCTTCCGGAGTTCAAAACTGAGAAACAAAGGGGGTTCCAAAACGCCAAAATGCCACTTTTTTTCGGGTTTTTTATGTAAAACTTCGTATTTCTCGAATATAAGAGCACATACAGGGGTAGGATTTTGTTGTACTTATTAAGGCTTGTAGTATACAACCACACGTGTGGGAGGAGCTGGGGGCGGAGTTTGCCAATTTTGGACAGTTTTTGTTTCTCGCTTTCTACTCTCGGAAAAAATTCGGCAAAAGCTTATTTGAGTATATGTGCCTACTGTATAATGACAAGTTGGGAGTCCGCAGGTTTTTCCGCGCGAAAATCCAATTTTCAAGTGAAAATTTTTTTTTCGTAAGTTTTTCGTCCTCTCTTGCTGAAACCTCGGCATACTTAAGATTGTGTTGTCATTATTGTTTTGCCAACTCGAAGTTTTGGTGAAGCTCTTTACTACATCAGTGGCCTAACGTTTCGACTACTCGTCGTCTTCAGAGGCCTAAAGCGGTGCGGGATTAGCGATATTATGTCTGCCCCACCAAGTGCTTCATCGACCCTTGGATAGTTTCTCGATCCCCCTCGAGTTTTACAAGCAAAATTCGCAAGATGGAAAAGGCGAACGCACCATTGCTCCACCGCCGGCGCACTTGATGGTATGTGCGACCGCTTCCTTGGTGACAGTAGTGCCAATAAGCCACATTGAGCAGCTCATTGTAGATGTAATCATCGCACTACCCTATCATAGCTCACAGAGTGACAAAAACGGCATGAGATCAATCGTAACGGCTAAGCACTTGTTTCTGTTGTTCATAAGCGGTTTTCTGCGCGTGATCCAAAATGCTTCGAGAGCTTTCCGAGCAGAGGTATCTTCTTCAAAAGCCAATATTGTACACTTGATTTCGTAGTCTTCGCCGCAATGGTACTCATGTCTATGTTTCCCGAGAGGCGAGACTAAATTACCTTTTCGTTTATTGGCGAGATGTTCTCTAACTCTCACGCCAAGTGCTCTTCCGGTTTCTCCTATATAGCTAGCTCCACAAACTAAACATTCTATCTGATATATTACTCCCATCTTCGCGCAGTCACCAATGCTGCTATATGGACAAACAACGCACTCTTTCGAGATACAATATTTGTCATAGAGCCTGTTTCGTACAAGCCGTTTCTTTAAATTGTCGCTCGGAACATTTACTAAAATGATATCGTCGCTTAGCTGCGCTCGTTTAATACTCTGCCGTATTGCAACACAGATTTCATCCGAGACAAAAGGAAGACAGAGTGCTATTTTGTTGTTATATTGAGCGGTATTATGTGAGGAATATGGTCTACCACGAGCATGACGCATCAGATAGCCATTGTTCCTCGCGATGCTCAGTGCAACATTTCGCGACTCTTTCTGCTCTTGTTCTCCCGTACACACTTGTGTTGCTGTTTTAAACATATTTCGGATAACGGCATTCTTGACGGCTGATGGATGTGCCGAACGAGCATGTAATAAGATGTTTTTAAAGCTATTCTTACGATACCATTTAACATATGTGTTGCAGCCAGACAGTTTGATTTGAACGTTCAAGTACGGAAGCCAACCATCAACCGGCTGTTCGCGCGTGAATCTAATGTACTGCGACTGCTGATTGAGCAATCGGAAACACTCGTCCATTTCGGACTGAGTGGATGTCACAATACAGCAGTCGTCTATGTAGCGACAGTACATAAGTGGAAGTCTTGACAGCACGGGTTGTTCGATCCTGCTCATGAAACATATTGCAAGAACTGGAGCAAGCCGTTGTCCCATTGCAAGTCCTCTTACTTGAGCAAAGTAGGTGCCTGACCATCTAAAGATATTACAATTCAAACATTCTCGGATCAGGACCATGATGTGATGCTTGCTCAATCCAAAGGTTTGAATGCTGATGAATTTAGTGCGAGCATTCAAACCTTTGGATTGAGCAAGCATCACATCATGGTCCTGATCCGAGAATGTTTGAATTGTAATATCTTTAGATGGACAGGCACCTACTTTGCTCAAGTAAGAGGACTTGCAATGGGACAACGGCTTGCTCCAGTTCTTGCAATATGTTTCATGAGCAGGATCGAACAACCCGTGCTGTCAAGACTTCCACTTATGTACTGTCGCTACATAGACGACTGCTGTATTGTGACATCTACTTAGTCCGAAATGGACGAGTGTTTCCGATTGCTCAATCAGCAGTCGCAGTACATAAGATTACGCGCGAACAGCCGGTTGATGGTTGGCTTCCGTACTTGAACGTTCAAATCAAACTGTCTGGCTGCAACACATATGTTAAATGGTATCGTAAGAATAGCTTTAAAAACATCTTATTACATGCTCGTTCGGCACATCCATCAGCCGTCAAGAATGCCGTTATCTGAAATATGTTTAAAACAGCAACACAAGTGTGTACGGGAGAACAAGAGCAGAAAGAGTCGCGAAATGTTGCACTGAGCATCGCGAGGAACAATGGCTATCTGATGCATCATGCTCGTGGTAGACCATATTCCTCACATAATACCGCTCAATATAACAACAAAATAGCACTCTGTCTTCCTTTTGTCTCGGATGAAATCTGTGTTGCAATACGGCAGAGTATTAAACGAGCGCAGCTAGCGTGCGTTCGTCTTTTCCATCTTGCGAATTTTGCTTGTAAAACTCGAGGGGGATCGAGACTATCCAAGGGTCGATGAAGCACTTGGTGGGGCAGACATAATATCGCTAATACCGCAAAGCTTTAGGCCTCTGAAGACGACGAGTAGTCGAAACGTTAGGCCACTGATGTAGGAAAGAGCTTCACCAAAACTTCGAGTTGGCAAAACAATATTGACAACGCAATTTTTTTTCGATTTTGGCTCAAAATTTTACATGGAATGCGACTTAGGCGGACCCTTGGTGGTCAATTTGCAGAGCTTGCTTCGCCCTATCGAATGATATCCCAGGTCTGCCAGGAAAACAAAAATAGTTTGATTTATTCAAAAATACAGTTTACTTTTGGGACAACCTAATAACTCTATAGCTTATCAACAAATGATCTTTACAGCATACTCTTTCTATACCTGGATATGCGTTACTTGGTGGAGAAATTACCCAAGCTTTTCAAGCTGCTAATACCACTGAGCCATTTTCTCTTTTCGGTTACGATCTGATAGTTCCTACGGCATGGGTATACATCGTTGGGATATGTGTTTTACAGTAAGTCAATAAATTTTGTAATTAGCCACTACAACTCGTGACAAAAGCACGGTTTTCTCATTTAGATACGTGTGCATTGACAATGTCTATCGCCTTACTGCGCTTACTACCTCACTAAATGTAACTATGGTTATATCAGTTCGGAAGTTTCTCTCGTTGTTTGTTTCATTTGCAGCTTTTGGCAACCCTTTCAATATATTCCATTTTTGTGGTGCATTCTTCGTTTTTGTTGGATCACTTATGTTTTCGAAAGTCTTATAGCTTTTCTAGCGGATCTCGTACCTTTCCTTCGAAATTGAGAAGTGTCACTCAATTAGAAAAAGTGAAGGTCTTCTTAGTTGCATTATCTCAATGTGATGTTTTGCACTAGTCCTTCAGATAAAGATATCTCAAGGCTGTATTCACTATCAAAATTTAGATTTGAAAAAAAAAACAGTCCAATTGTACACTCAGAAAGTCCGGAATGGAAGAATGTCTCCAATTATTGACTCAGAGATAAGCTTAACCCCATTTTCACGCGTACAAGGCGCGTGGGATTTTTTTTCCAGAATCGATCAGCCTAAACACGCCAAAGGAACTCGCCGTCAATGGACGCTATACCGTGCTGAATATTGCTTGAGAGAATCGTGCGGCATTGAGATGGCTCTCCGAAACAAATGAAACAAGTGAAACGGCTGAGCGGCTCGCTTGAGATAACAAAAAAGTTGCGCCTTTCTGCGTGAAATTAGGGTTTTTGGTATAGACCAGGCTGGTACCCCTACGTTATCTAAGTAACTGTTTATTGGATAGTAGCGGAGCAGCCGCTAATTATCAACAGTGAATTTGCGGAACAACCGTTTACGATAGTGGTAATAATCGAACTAACACCAGAAATGAGCAATCAGCCCCTTTTACGCCACTGTTTTGGGCGTGGATGACCTGAATACTCAATTCTGGCAGGCGACAGTACCATACAGAATCAAGAATTGCCTACAGGGAACATGGAAGTAAGCGCCGCCAAGTAGACTATTGAGTGCATTGAAGGGGTGACTTGACGGCTTAGGTGAGTGAACAGTAACGTTTGTCAACGACAAGCTACTGAATATATAACATACATGATTAATCTACAGTAATAAAGGTGCTAGATTGTCTATTAAGAGAACCGCGCGACGGTTGGCTGCCGTTTCTGAACACATAGGATGAGCAGTGGAGCGGTCCAACAGATGTCGTAAAGGCAGAAATAAGAACATTATGTTGCACGCGAAATCCGCACACCCAGAAGCTGTCAAACGCGCCTTCGTATTTGTATGGTCAAAACAGCGGCGAAGGTTTGTAGTGGAAGACGAAAGGCGGGAATCACTGAAGCTGGCAGCCGAAGCCATAGCTTCGAATGGATATGTTGTGCGATCCGGACGTTTGAAAAGAAACGTTGTAAACCCAAGCCAGCAAGCTACCACTGGAGTAACTTTGTGCTTGCCTTTTATCTGCGAAAGCGTCAGCCGCAATCAAACTATGTCTGATACAAGCACAGCTTGAGAAAGACGTAGTTATCAGCATTCCGCGAGACAGCATCAGGAAGTTGTCAGTGCGTAGTAGACTCTAAGACAGAGCTTGTATCACAATGGGGCCGCTTGTTTGAGACGTCTTTCGCAGCCAACTGGTCTTGCAGCGTTGTTGCGTGTCGTTCCAGGACCAGCAGTCCGCGGAAGCGGCCCAACTGGCGGCTTTCGTTCCCCTACCCTATCACAAGAGATCGCGTTATGCCATGTTGACAATTTGGAGATGGTGAGAAATTGGGTGTTATATATCAAGCTGAGTGTATAAAGTGCTCTGCCAAATATTAGGTTGGTGCAAAAGTTCTTTCCACCAAATTCAAAAATTCATGACTTGCTGAATTCTCAACGAATTTGCAAGATTTAAATTTTGTGTAAGAGAGGAACTCATGCTCTTTGCAACCCTACTTGAACTGTTCGTTAATGTATACAAATGAAGGAGGTAGAAGCTCAAAACCAAAATCACTCAAAATTTGAATTTTTCGTGTAGGGTCATAAAAAATCGGAAACTTGCGATAAGAATCGGAGCAGTCAGTATTGTAGGCCCTTTCACAAGCTCTTTCCAACAGTGCAAAGCTTGCGCCGATTGAGCGTCTCTATGAAAAGTTATGAATATCGAGCAAGTAATACACAAGGGCGAATTTGATTTATATTAACATTTTTCAGGGAATTCATAACTTTTCACAGAGACGCGCAATCGGCACAAACTTTGCACTGTTGGAAATAGCTTGTGAAAGAGCCTACAATACTGACTGTTCCGATTCTTATCGCAAGTATCCGATTTTTTATGACCTACACGAAAAATTCAAATTTTGAGTGATTTTGGTTTTGAGCTTCTATCTCCTTCATTTGTACACATTAACGAACAGTTCAAGTAAATTTGCAAAGAGCATGAGTTCCTCTCTCAAACAAAATTTAGATCTTGCAAATTCGTTGAGAATTCAGCAAGTTATGAATTTTTGAATTTGGTGGGAAAGAACTTTTGCACCAACCTAATATATTGGTGAGGTCCGGTCCCTGTTTGGACATATTAGCGTTTAGCTAACGAAAAAAAAGGCAAAGCATGATGTCCACTGAGAAAGCATAGCATGATCGCGTAAGGCCTCGGGCAGAGTCCACGCGATTTGATCGTCGCGATTCAATCGCGACAAGACAACTGTTACGAGTTCATTGCATGCCGACCAGCTTGCATTTCGGTTGTGATACTTTTCCAACCCAAAATTTTTGAATGTAGGGTGAAAATGAATGGAAATCGAGGCGAATAAAACGCGACGATCAAATCGCGTGAACTCTGTCCGAGGCTCAACGGTGTTGATTGCCATATCAGGCGCAAAATCTTAGCCCACGAACACAAACTTCCGCACGAATTTAGAGGCCTCGGGCATAAAGTATATCATTTTATGACGACCTGGTACGGCACATCATAACAGTAGAAATGATATTGCTGTTCAATTGTTGAGCTGTCTCATGTCTTCTATAACCTTGAAAGACGTTCGTCAAATTTACAAGGCGCTGGCGAGGGTGCAAATCTAATTCAAGCTGTATCTCGGAATAAGCTTCATATCCACATAAGTGGAAGAACGGGCATTCTTTTCTACCCTTAAATCTCACAGATAAGTCCTCCCATCAAATAAGTCTGTCTACAGATAAGCCGCCGTCAGATAAGTCCGCTTTTTTGACTTGAATAAGGCCCCTCAGATAGATAGCCTTCAGATAAGTCCGCTTTCTTCCTATTATAACTACCTTGAAATCTTGCCAGATAAGTCCGGGCTTATCTGTAGGCGGGTGCAAGATTCTTGGCGATGAAAGAGTGCATTTTCATCGATTTTTCTTGTCAAAATAGTGGACTTATCTGTAAGATTTTAGAGTAATTCGCAAATATCTTTGGGACGGCAAGGGGTGGGAGAGAAGATCTTTGGAATGCTTCACAAATTGTTTGCACGCTTACAGCCTTGAGAATCCAAAAAAGCGAATCTTTTTCTGAAGCGTCTCCAAATTCTCGGTAATCACACAATTCTTTTGATTGATAACAGGTAAAAACAAACTAGTTGCCGTTTATGACTCACGTAGGCCACTTTTGAAAACTTGCGACCTATTTTTGGAGAAGGAAGCATCCCACATTTAGCTTTCCACTCGGTCCATCGCTAGGTTCTATTCATAACTTTCATGTTGATATTCATATATTAATATTGATTTCATATCAATTTATTGTGCTTTACGAGCAGAGTTGTCTAATGGTTAGTGCTCTACATCATTGCGCTATTTGGTACCGACGTGAGCATAATTCTGCGGCATCAAATTTCTGCTCACATCCAGCGTCATGCTACCCTTCTAAAGAATTGCCTGTGACAAGCCAGCCGAGAAACACTGTATCGCATCAACAGTTCAGACATCTCTCAAGTTTTTTGATCAAGGGCTAGGGCGTCCCTCGGAAGCGTGCAGAAAAATTTATTGGCTTCATTTTTAGAGCGAGAATCTAAGAAGATCTAGCGCTTCTTGCTAGCTTCTGAATTGCGATAAGGCCTGACACTTCGCATGTTTAGGACGGGAACTTATTGCTTAGCGAAATTGTATACTATAAACAATCCCTGCACTTTACATTGAGAGGGGGAATTTTCTGCTTGGACTACGGCTTGCCGCAACAATCGATTGGGACTAGTCGGTTTTCGCAAGTGTTTTGTGTACTGCATTACTAAGACGTTCTTTCTTGCACTATCCTGCGTCGGTAAAATGCTTGTAAAATACATGCAGTCAATAAGTGGGTTAACACTAAGACAGGTCTTGCTACACGAGCCTGAAAAAACGAGTGTCACGCATAGCGCCGCCGCTGCTCCCTTTCACTGCTGAAAGCTGCTCTTTTGCTCTCTACATTTCACCCATTTCATTTCTTCTGACAATTCTAATTTTATGGGCCAATACAAAGCACCACTGAGATATCTGCTGCCTGGACCCCTCTTTATGCACACAGTAAGCCTAAAGATTGTCGCATCCGTGTTAGGGTTGGTTTGTAAGTCTTACCAACATTTGGGATCGTAATTTCTTACTCTTTATGAATTAGACAGTATCTCTCAGCAACAGGAAATCGGCGCTCTATCTTCTGCGGAAATATCATATTGGCTTCACGTACATACTCCTTGATAAATGAATACAGTCAAACCTAGATTTTGCTAAGTGCTATTTGAGTTTAAATTTTTGTCCTGAAAATAGCTTGACAACAATTGATACAACTTTTGATTGTGGTTTCTCGACTTTTCCTCGCTGAGTCAAACACTCACTAAATCGGAAGTCTTTAGGTATGATTTGCGAGCTCCTCTAAACTACATTTTTTGCGCCTCACAAAATTTCTGGCGTGGTAAATTGACGTGTGACACATAACTAAAAATGTCATGTTGCTAGAATAATAATGACTTTTCTTCGGTTTTTGAGGTTAAAGCTGATATATGTCAGGAAGTTCTACCAGTCTTTTCACTTGATTTCTAACCACAAAAAAATGAGCAGAGTTCGTGTTGATACTTTTATGTGTCTATTATACGCATGACTGATTGGGATTCGTATAATTTTTTTGCGGCTGAATCAAAGTTCTGGGGTACTCCGATTTTTTCACTTTTTGGTTTAAATTTTCATATGGAACACGATTGATGTGGATGTCTGACAGTTATCTTATAGACCTTGCTTGCTCTATCAAGCAGTTTTTTCTCACTTTGCTTTTTGCACATCCTGCTGCGGGAGCCGTCATTTTATTGACATCTTGAAGTGTAATAATAAACAATATGTTTTGAATATTTTCATAGCTTTTTTATATTTTGGTGCAAGACTTATGGACCAACCTGGTATTTGCCACTAGTCAAGCCTTCACTTGGAAACATGGATCATGGTCTCGTTAGAATTAGCTGGAGAACTATGGAGCGCCACATTGTCGGACTATATAAGGAGCTTAGAAGGGGGGGGGGATTGAAGAACCATTTGGTAGAATCCAATTTTTATTTTATCTATTTCTATTGTTATTGCTGATGGCAAACTTCCGTAATGCACAACTTTTTGTAGGTGTTTAAATACCCCGACGCACTGAGAAATTTCCTGCAATCAATAACCGAGGCAAACCTATTTCTTGTAAAATTAGCAGAATGTGAACGAAGAGATGGCGTTACTACTTATTTTCCGAACAAAATCTGGTTTTGGTTGTAGACAAAACTGCATTTTTTAACCGTTAGCAATTTTCTATGTATAATTTGAACAGGAGATGTGAAAGGCAGAAATCTGAGCTACGCTTACTCCAAGCCTTTGTTTTCCAATCATTTCTAGGCCAAGTCCGATTATAATTTTGATTGGTCAGAACGAAATGGATGATGGGCATACATGAGCTTTCTGATGCTAGATAATTTACTTGTCTCAAAACGGAGATTTTTATAGAACCTGATAGAAACAGATTCACTAAATGAATGGGATTTGCCATGTGGTAAATAATTTGAAAATATGGAACAACTCAAAGTTTCCACAGCTGCGTTTTAGGATTTGTACAGTTTAGCAAACTTAGCGAAATCCAACGTTTGGAAATCTGGGAAGCACCAATAGAAATGTCATGGCAAGTACGTTCCTAGCAAGTACAGGTAGTATTCTAAAAGGCAACTCTTGCCGTAAAGTTTTCGCTTTTTGGAGGAAATGGGGCTTTTCTATTGATTTTATTTTATTGTTGTCCCTCCACCTGTTCGTTTTCTAAATCTATAGTGTGTCTAGGCGTAAAGCACACGTCAAATTGCCCATAATTCATTGATATTCATGATGTATTCATGATGATTTTAGTTTTTCATACAATCAGCGCCTAGTATTCACACGTAATGCTCGTCCGCGCTGTTGTAGGGACACTGGCTGGCTGTGTGGGATGTCAGGCGGGCGTTGAAATATTGCAAAGGTAAAAAAAATATCTGTTATTCTTATTCTATAGCATCTGACCATTTTTGCAGAAAAGTCAAAAATAGTCTGAATCTTCTAACTCTAGCTACCTGTGTATTCGTATCGCTTGAGGGTATTTTATTCCGGTCTATGCTAAGCGTCAAGCAAGAAATACCACTACGGTAAATGAACTTGGTTAACTGAGATTCCGTAGCTCAATCTCATAGATGATTTTTTTTCATATTTGTGCAATTTCATATGTTGACAGCAATTTATGCGTTCAGGGTGTATATCAAGATAGTATCCATATTTTTCATAGTAAATCTCTGTAACAATACATCCATACGATGTGATATTTACTTCCCTTTATTCATCATATTCAAGTCGGTAAGTCAGAGATTTCTACTGCTTTCATTTTTCGTTGACTAACAAGGGAACGATCCCAACTTAAGGTGGCGGATTGGATTGAACCGCACATCATTAGATGCGTCTGGATGAGCTGATTCCAAATCTATCTTTCATATCTGCGATGTCGTTATCTGCGAAAAGTTATGAGCGGTTGAAAATGTGAACTCATTGGGGTTTTAATGCATAATGTGCTTTGAAGTCCAACTTGGGATGCATGGGCTAAGATGATATCAACTGTATTGATCCCAAAGAATGTTCTTTAACAGAAACAGAAAGAAGTGTTTTTAATTAACTAATTCTCGAGATATGGCGCCGTACATAATTTATATTTGGACTTTACATTGCTCATAGCTTTTACCATAGAACTTTGATTGCTTTTTAGTTGTTCAAAAACGCTTATTTGTGTTTTTTTGAATGTGAGCATTCTCTGAAATCACTTCACTCAATACACTGGTCATACACTCCCAAGTTGGATTTTGAAGCAAACTTTGCAGTTATACCCCAATGTCACATTTTAACCGCTCATAACTTTTTGCAGATAACGGCATCGCAGATAGGAAAAGCAGATTTGAAATCAGCTCATCAAGACGCATCTAATGAGATGCGGTTCGTTCCATTACGCCACCTTAAGTTGAGATTGTTCCCTTGTAAGAGATTTTTTATGTTAAGGGTTCACTATTAGCGAACATTATACTATGTACCCTTCTACGGAATCGCATTTACACAACAACAAAAATATTCTCTGTTCTTATCGTGACTGCAGGCATAATTATGTTTACCCTGGCCAGCTATGAAAGTAAACCTTCTATTTCAACATCGGATCTGTATTTTTTCGGCATTCCGCCGTTTTGTGTAGGTTGGTCAATTTATCCACTTATGAATGAGTTTTATTAGCCTTGCAATTCTGATCGTCAGAGTTAGAATGGGTGAGAAAAAGAATGATCTCCGTTATCAGGGTCATTTAAATTCAAGTTTCATCAAATTTTCCGCGCTCTTTTGTTTTGCCTTGCAAAACAAAAAAATGCAGAAAAACTCAAATGTCCGTGAAAGACCAATTGAAAGATAGGCCCATCATCGTGATGTGTATCATTGCAATAATTAGGTTTTTGTCTATCTTTTCCGCAGCAAGGAACTCAATTGAATTTGAAATGAAATTTAGAAGAAGGCTCATTAGGCAACTAGTTTACCATGTGGAAAAAAGTACTAGCAGATGTCGCATCCGCAGTTGTTGCAAAAATCGACCAATAATCTAGAATGAGCCTTAAGCCCCTTAGTCCAAATCTCATTCGCATAGATAGAACAAATGTCGCTGCTAAGTCTCGTATTCAGAATCTTGACGAAAATTTATTCTTTGTAGGAACCTACTTATCATTATGTTGATATCAACGTGAGGTTCAATATGCTTATTCTTTGGAGAAAAGGAGAGGGTTGAGGGGAAGAATAGGTTGAGTTCAATGTGAAATTCTCCCTTATTTATACAAGGATCGCCATATATTAGGTGGGTCCGAAAGTTCGTGCCGTTTCTTAGACCTATTCTAAAATCGTTCAAAATGAAGGTAGGCAAATCTTTTTAACAGTATCCGATGCAGAATTTCTTCCTCTTTCCAGCAGCTTTGTTTCTATGACAGCTTCGACGAACGCTGAGGAAATTGCCGAAAGCTATTATAGAACCCTTCATTTTTACCATGTCTAACTTTCGCTAATCAGAATTTTCATTTTAGACATTTGAAGGTGCTTTATTAACTACCTGATAAGACAAACCTTTTCAAACAGTGCAAATTTAGATTTTGTCAAATTATTTTACTAGAGCATTGCATTTTGAAAAAAGTCGCGTGACACATAACTTCATCAAACACTGCGAAGCACTCAGAATACTGAAGTTCTAAAACCCGGTTCTCAATTTTAGTATTACGAAGTAAGAGCGATTGCGGCGTGAAAAATGGTTAGATTTTGGAATTTCGACTATAATCTTGCGCACCCGTAAATTTTGAAATACAGCGTTTTTGTCTGTAAAAGTCGCATGTTTTGCGAAGAAAAGGTAGCAGTCAGAAAGAGAAAAAAAATGCATCGAATGGTACCTAAACTGTTCAATATCTGATGTTTTGCGAGGCTAGAAGCCATATATGAAATTTGGTTACTTCAGACAATATCTTTTGTAAAGTCTCAGGGCTTCTTGACACTTCTATTGCTGTCTATTGTGTCTATCTAGTCCTTTTTAGTCGATTTATATGCGTTTATTTGGTGTTTCAACCGTTTTACTCTGTTTTGATTGTTTCGTGTCGTGACCACGCGATCGAACGCGCATGCACATCTTCTTGGGCCGCTATAAAAGGGCGACTGCGCTTGGCTCAAATCAGTTTGTCGTCAGTGCTACGAGGAGTGCGGTCGGGTCATTTCGAGGAGCCAAGCCGAGGAGACGTGGACGCGACGATCGCATGGAGGATTGTTCTTCAACAAAGGATTGCATCATACCCCTGGACACTAGGCCGAGCCCTCGCAATAGCGCCTACCCTGAGGCCTTCTATTGTGCTTGACACTTTTAGTAATTCCAGAAAGCATGCTAGAAAGCAGTGGCGGTCCCAGGATTTCGGACCGGGGGGGGGCGACAAAAAAAATTTTCCAGTGAAGGTGCGTGGCGTTAGCCACGCACTCCGAAAAATTTTTTGTAGTGCTTTTCAAAATTTTTGCGGGTCCCAACCTCTAAAATCTGGAAAAAGGGGGAAAATTTTTTTAATAAGGCTAACTTGAATTTTCAAAAAGTTTTAAAAATTATTTCAATTATTTACAAGTATGAACAAGTCACTTGCACATAACCCATAGTAACCCCGCCCCCCCCCCCTCCCTCGGTCCGCCACTGCTAGAAAGATGCAAAAAATTGCATAAATTTGCAAAAGGTTTACCTTGTCAGGTAGTCATTAGAGCACCTTTGAAAGTCTAAAAGAAAATTCTGAAAATTAGGGAAAGTCATACATGGTAAAAATGAAGGGTTCTGTTTTCGGCAATTATCTCTGCGCTCGTCGAAGCTGTCACAGTGACATAGTGCTAGAAAGAGGAAGAAATTCTGCATCGGACACTGTTTAAGAAATTGCCTACCTACATCTTAAACGATTTTAGAAGAGGTCTAAGAAACAGCACAAACTTTCGGACCCACCTAATATATCAACCAGAGAAGAGGCGAGAAGTAATAAGTGCGGGTGGCCTCAATGTTGCCCACTGTCACGCAATCTGTTGAAGTGATAATCAGTATATGATCACTACTCTTTTTGGTACATTACCTATATTTCAAGTAAATAGCCTTCAGTGCCTATATTTCAGGCCTCGTTCTACTCACAACAGCCTTGATGCTTAGCGCTTATCTTGGTATTTGTCAAGAGGACATGTATAGAACTTATGGGAAGCATGCTAAGCAATCTATGTTTATGGTGGTGCGTATATAGCTAAAATACTTGAATTTCATCTTTAAGACCTTTTTTGATGTTTTCAGCTGATTTTCACACCACTTTTTCAAGCAAACACAATCTATACGATTCTCCTGTCTAGAAGAAAGCACGAAAGAAGGAAATGTTCTAAATTTCTGTGTGCAGATGGACAAAAATGACGGTGAAGTATGCGCGAGTTATTGACACCCACCAGCTATCGTTCCTCTTGCTCGCCACCTGCGTTTATATCATACTTACGCTGGCTACTCTGGGCATGGTTGGCAGCAACCAATCTTGGTTTTCCTCTTCCGAGGCTCTAACTAATGCTGCAGTCTGGTATCAGTAAAGCCCTCAAGACTTTATTAGGTCGCACTCTATGGTTTTTATATTTGATAAAAAACTTGGGAAGCGAAATTTATTCGTTTCATCCGTTTAATTTCTTATGAATAGGATACGGAGAGGAAGCCCAGAAACCTCAAAAAAACCCTCCCGTCCTGAAAGGGGTACGACCAGAGGTGCGATAGTCGGAGCCGATTCTCCGCCTACCTTCACTTTTGAGGTGGTACAGGGTGACCACCTTCACTTTTGGGTTTGAAAATTTTTTTCGCTAAAGCTCGAAAGAAGGAAAATAAGCAAAAGGAGTGTAAAAGAAAGTATTAAGAGCATATATCTTTGTAGTAAGTCGATCCAGGCAGTAACCGCCGAGAACCAGAATTTCGAATAAAATAATGAATCTTGAAAAATCATTCCACTATTACAAATCTGCTGGCTGAAGACCTCCGCGGTTGCGACTTTATAGGTTTTAAAGGGTAAGTGTTGTTCTACCAGACAATAAAAAAATCAGTTTGATTTGAGGAGTGGCCGCCGAGAACGAGAATTTTGAAAAACCTTAAAAATCTTCCCAATTTTAGGTTGCTTAATGACAACTGACAATTAAACTCTTATAAATCCGGACTTTGAAGGTGTGTGATGTTGCGACTTCATAGTTTTTGTAGGATGAGGTTTGCCCTATCAGAATATGTCTTAGCTGTACCGATCCATTGAAACATCGCCGAGATCCAGGCTCTTAAAAAAGCAGGTAAAAAACCGTTTTTCAGCTCATAACTTCTTCAGAATTGCATAATTCATGTTGCGACGTCATAGGTTGGATTCTCCTCATCAAGAGCTTTCAGATAATATATAATATGTGGGTGATTCACGCTTCCCACGGCATATGCCCGGGGGTGGAGCACCTCTCCTCACTAATTCTCCACTGGCGGCCTCCCTCCAATACATTGAAATGGGCGGGGTGGAGAATTAGTGAAGAGGAGTACTCCACCCCGGGTTAGAGCCGCAAGAAACATTGAATCCCCCATATACAGGGTGTCCCAAAAAGATGTGCACACTGTTTGATTGTAAATAACTCTCTTGTAATGAAGTGTTTCGAGAAGCTTTAGGTACCATTTTGTAGAGCGAGGTTCAACTTAGATTTACAGTGTAGAGCGAATCGCCGATCGCTCATTCTTACTGTAGGAGTACGGTAGAAACTTCAAACATATGGTGTCACTGTGAAAAAGCGGCCGTCTCAAAAATTTCCAAAAAATGTGGAAATTTGTGTAATAGGGTTTTTATGGACCCTGAGTTCAATACCCAACTCTTTACAAGGTTGAGAAGCTTTCTAAACGGTGTAACCGCACTTTTTAGGAACACTTTCAAAAAGTCTACTGCTGCTTACCTCGCATAATTTTTTAATGAAGCATTACGAAAAGTTGCAAACTTCACAGTTAAAATCAGCAACTCAAATTAGCCCATTCTAAGAGTTTTCAGGTTGTTTTGTCCCTTTTTGGAACAAAATACGGCCTTTTATGGCTCAAAACCCTCTTAAAAGTTTCTACCGTAATCCTACAGTAAGAATGGGTGATCGGCGATTCGCTCCACACTGTAAATCTAAGTTGAACCTCGCTCTACAAAATGGTACCTCAAGCTCGGCAAAAGACTTGAATGCAAGAGAGTTATTAACGATCATACAGTGTGCACATCTTTTTGGGACACTCTGTATTATATATCATCTGAAAGCTATTGAAGAGGAGAATCTAACCTATGAATTCGCAACATCATACACCTTCAAAGTCCGGATTTATAAGAGTTCAATTGTCAGTTGTCATTAAGCAACCTAAAATTGAGAAGATTTTCAAGGTTTTTCAAAATTCTCGTTCTCGGCGGCCACTCCTCAAATCAAACCGGTTTTTTCACTGTCTGGTAGAACAATACTTACTTTTCAAAACCTATGAAGTCGCAACTGCGGAGGTCTTCAGCCAGCAGATTTGTAACAGTGGAATGATTTTTCACGATTTTTCATTATTTTATCAGTCGAGATTCTGGTTCTCGCCGGTTACTGCCTGGATCGACCTACTTTTTTCTACATTATAACAAAATTTAATTAATAAAATACGTACAGTTCCGCTGAGTTTTACTTCCAAATACACTATTTGATAAGCACTTTACTTTAGATATCTATGACGCTATACATAAAATTGCTTTCAATAATCCCTTTTGCTTTGTTTTGCTTATTTTCCGCACACTAACGGCAGTGACCTGGAAGGATAGACGTTAATGCTCCCCCCCCGGTCGACGTTTTTGGGAGGTGAGTGTCCGGCACTACCACCTTCACTTTTGGCCGGCCAGTGGCAGTTGGGACCACCTTCACTTTTGGTGGGCCCGGCTCCCCCCATCGCACCTCTGGGTACGACTGGAGTACGACTACTTCTCTCATTCCCATGTTCTTTTATTGGCATCCCTGTTTCCGTGTTAAGTCGCCCTTCACAAACATATTGAACGACCTGTTGCGAACGTCCTCCTCCTCCACATCTTCGTGGAACATCCACTTCTTTTCCATCTGCTGCTGATGTTGGAGAGTTGATAACACTGATGGTCTTTTGAGGTGGAAGACTGTTGAATAGGGTGACCTGACGAGATTTTTCGTACGACACGACAAGATGGACGATAGATGGGTGGTTGGCAAAGCCAACCTCTTCAACGTTTGTAATGGAACCTTCTCACCGTGACAGTCTCATCACTCAACTTTCGTATGTTCTTCCTGCTGGTCTTCTTTTCTTGCAGGTGGCGTTGTACTAGATGTGCTCTGCAGTGTCGAGAAGAAGGTGGTGGTCGGCCTTTGAGAAGACTGTCTGGTTTGCAAGTCCAGAGTACGAGGCTGTGTCAAGCGAGTTATTCCAGACATATCATTCTTGCTCTTTCCGAATGGCGTCCTGAGCAACATGACATAGGTCTTGCGACAACTGGCGCGTTAAATAGGGTCGATGTGCAGGATTTTCTCAACGTTCACCGAATAAATGAATTTTTCCCGGCAGGAGAGGCATACTAGGCCTGCTTTTGCCGTCCACCGGTGATCACCAATGTTGGGATGTGTCAATGACGTTAGAGACTTTCAAATACAGCCAAACGACGAAGAATCTGCAAGGTTCTGCTTGACCCTAAGCATTCGATGAAGTGAATGCCAAAAACCAAAAAAAGCCTCAAACTTTTTCACGGTGGAACCCTGCTAGGGTATGCACGCGGCTGTACATCGCAGTTCGACATCTTTAGGCCGTCCGTGCTCAGGGAGCAGCGCTGTTGCGTCCATCAAAGACAATTCATGACTGGGAGAGGCGCAGGAAAAACAAGCAGCGAGAGTGCAAATAGGAACGAGGAGTGACGCGCAATGCACACTCTGCGCACTCTCCGCGCCCTGCACGGACGGCCTACACCTACATACGGCGCTAAGACGCCAGGCTATAGTGAGAGTTTTAAACAGACATAAGTAATATTGAGTTACTTTGCCTAAATCGTTAATGTGCCCTCATTTCAGCATACACTATCGATACCAGTGTACATCGTGCTTGGAAGTGAGCTCTATGATGCGGTGCTGGCTGCTAATAGCACTGAACCTTTCCAAATATTCGACTGTAACTTGCTTATGCCTGCTGCATGGGTGTATATTTTGACAATCTGCGTTCTTCAGTGAGTTTCTTCTATACTGTTTCTTTGAGTATCTGAGTTGAACTTGGGTCATTCCAAGTCATCACATCATTATATGTTTTTCTATGCCAAAGACTCATTTGAGTTCTCTAAAAATCTTTTGATTTCATAAATTTAGCAGCATATTCAAAAAATTTGCGTTTGCAATCTCCCTTCAACTTTTCTGTTCCTATCATTGACTCCCAAGCATACAGAGGCGAGGAGCGTTGCAGAAATTCAATGTTAACAAGCTTTTTGGAACGTTAGCTGATTACTCTCGCTATCAAGAACTGCCAAGCGTTGCGCTGCCACGTCTCCACCTCAAATCTCTAGTCAATAATTTTATTTATCTATTTATTTATTCTACAAGCTCTTGGCGTTCCTTAAAAAAGAAAAAAATACAGTTACTCATACTCTAACCACGATAGTTCATCATGTAGTTTGGGTCTAACCTTCCGGACTGGATCTGAAAGTGTGATGAAAGCCTGTATGGACTGCTTTAAGACTGTAGTCAACAGAATTGAATCAGTGTGTTTCATGGAGATGGTACCCATGCCCCCTTTTTGCCAGCAAAACAATTTTGATTCTAACAAGCAAACGGTTTGAAGGTGATAAATTTATTTTTTGTGTTTAAGTGCACTGTAGAAAGCTTCGAGATTAGTATCAAATTTCCACAACTGTAAAATTGCTTTGGAATTTTTTACCGGTTCGTATCCCATCTGTGTATCTCACCCTAACTCTACTGCTCATTCAGGTACATCTGTATCGACAACGTTTACCGCCTCACGGCTTTAACCACATCGCTTAATGTAACAATGGTGACATCAATTCGTAAATTTATATCAGTGCTCATTTCTTTCATGGCAATCGGTAATCCTTACAATGCTTTTCACTTCATAGGAGCTTTCCTTGTTTGTATCGGGTCGATAATGTTTGCGAAAGTCAGGTGATTGTTGTGTAATAATACATTTTCTTGTCAACATATCAAGATAACTCAATATCATCTCGGTGCACACAAGGATCTCTTTTTTCTGCGATTGAGCTTGAATAAAGTTTTTACTAAACTTTCTTACTACGGTCCGTTACAAACTGGATTATCTCAAAGAATGAGAATTTACATTCCCGAAACTTGCACCATTTCAGCCAATTCAAAAAAGTTCAAAGTATAAATATAAATGTACTTTTTGGACACAAGCTTGATGCACACAAAAATAAGCTACTACTAAAGTCATGGAGAGTGTATGAATTAGCGGAGTACGTTGCATACAATCACGGCACCAACAACCAATACGTCAGACTTTGGTAGAAAAACTGCGTAATCTGGGATCTCAAGGAACTGACGAATGGTGTAAGGTATATGAAGAACTGTACCGTGACTATGACAACTTTATAATAATCACAGGAAAAAAATCTCTTTGCTATTTATAATACCTCGCCTTGCAAAAAAATTAGAATGCTTGGAAAACAGCTTTGTAATCTTCCATGTATATGGAGAATATGCCATAATTTTCATAAACTGCTCAGAAGTGCTACAAGTTTCGAATTTTTATTTTGTAGACTTGGAAAAAGGTCTAATTTTTCAGGTCTTTCCCAACCTCGACGTTGAACGTCCAAAGTCACCTTTGAGAAAGAGTTATTCATAGCAGTCCAGAAAATGACATAGAAAGTGTCTTTGTGTACAAGAAATCGGATTTATTATTTACTACTGGAAGGTCAGAGGGCACACTGACGCAAGAGGAAGAATGTTGCCGCGAAGAAGTCTTGCGTTGCTGACTTGTGGAATATCAGACAGACAGTCTGTGAAAAGAAGGGAGCATAACAGTGATAGTACCTGCATAACTAGGTCATGGTTTTTTTGTCAAGTTTGTTGAACAAATCTTATCAATGAAGAATGGAAAAGCTAGAGAGGGAAAAGATGTCGAAAATAGATAATAGATAGATAGCTTGCCTACTTGGTTTTTTTGACTCTTTCTTGGACTCCTCAAAAGCTGTCACGAAAAGTGTTTGGCGTTAAAGTGATTTTCCAAATGAAATTCAAACCGATAAAGAGCATGGAAGGGTGAATCTAATCTTAGCCTTGGTCTCTGCAGGGCGCCTGTTGGGGACGATTATGGTTTTGGGTCAAAAAACAGAACAAAAGCCCAATCAGCACAGAATCATACAGAAATGCTCAAATGGGCTAAATTAGAATTTTAGGAATGTTGTCCGACACTTTTGTGTGAAAAACCAACACCTTCGCGAATTTCCACCGTGCCGCGCAGAACGGTTAAGACAAACTGATGATGCACTCATAGAAATGTCACAGGAATTAGATGAATGAAATCACAAAGTACGATAAAATTCCAGTGTGCAAATGTGTCGCTGAAAGCTAATCACACAATTAGTTTGGAACAAATACAATGGTGATTTGAAAGAGCTTTGTCAAAAGATACCTGTTATTTACTCATTTCAGATACAATTCCAACGGTTTGTTGGAGCATCAAGTCAAAAGTAAGCAGTTTTTAAAGATTTGCATATAGTTGTTGGGGCCTTTCTTTTCCGGTCTTACAAAAATCCTTGCTCCGGTGATCCATAAAAACCAATGCATTAGAGGAGCGGGGGGAGCAAGCTAATAACAAATATTCTATACCATTCAAAAGCTCAGGATTCAGGTATTCGACGTGAACCGTCAACCTTTTTCTGCCCCACTTCAGAGATACCCGCATTTTATCTATTATGTCCATTTTTGACAGTATTTGACCGTCTTTTCTGACTCTCCCTCGACTGATCATTTGACAGGGCAAATCAAGCTCTACAAGCTATCGAGGGCCCTCACAAATCGTACTCCATATAAAAGTTTGAGCTGAAGCCTGATAGAAGTTAAAACGAACCTTTCTGTAAAAAATCATCTCTCGGCCTTAAAAAATCTTAAAAATTCCTCATTTATTCTGGCGTATGCTTGATACATCGCGCAATCATTTGTATTGTTTTCTTTTTTTTGTATTTCTTCCATGGCTAAAAATAAAGAAAAAAAATGAGTGAGATAAAATTTCAAACTCTACCCCTAGAGGTTCTGAGCTTTTCCCATGTACGTAATCATATAGCTCTTACCAGTGGCGTACCCAGGATTTCCGCTCGGGGGGGGGGGGCGACGAAAATTTTTTTCGAACCACGCACTCCGAAAAAATTTTAGGGGTGCTTCTCAAAACTTTTGCGGGTCCCCAAGCCCTAAAACCTGGAAAAGGGGGCGTGGCGTCAGCCACGCCCCCGAAAAATTCTTTTTACAACGCTAAATTAAATTTTTAAAAAATTTTAAAAAATTATTTTAATTATTTACAATTATAAACAAGTTACTTGCACATTTTTATAATCCATATAAGTAACTTTCAAAAATTTTGCGACCCATTCTTGGGGCCCCCCCCCCCTCGCTCCCCCCCTCTGGTGCGCCACTGACTCTTGCATATAGAAGTACGGCCACGTGTTTGCACACTTTGAAAGTGCCCGAATTCTCGAGAAGTGCTGACGTTCAGGGTAAAGGTAAAAAATTATGGAACACCCTAATAATATTGTATTCGTAATCAGCATGCTCGATTCCCGCAAGTCAAACTTTACAAGAATGTCGATAAAAATCGATAAAATCAACATTAATCGATAACGAAAAGTATCCTACGACAGCCGCCCGCTCCGAAGTGTATGTGTGCCTAGTTTGGTCCGATAGGTTCAGAAATGGATTTTTTTTATTCGGAACACGCATACCACAAACATTGCTGCTGCATGACGAAGGCGCATATCCCTGGGCGCGAACGCGGCTTTATTAGCCACAGAACGCATGGGCGCAAGATTTGAAACGGTGAGAATAAGCGCGCGCCGCGTTCGCGCCCGCCTAAGTGGTACTGCTTCTGCGCCTTCGTCATGCAGTAGCCTAAGACATACAGACATACAAACATACAGAAAAATAGACTTTTAAATTTATATATAACCAGTGCGTCACTTCTGCTTCGCAGGGGCTCGCACCAGGGCTCGGCACAGCTGGCACCGGGTCAAGCTGCTCAGACAATTGCATCGGAAAGTTCGCGGCCTCAAAGCGTGCTGCATGGCGCGCCGCGGCCCTTAAAATTTTAGCCGCGCACGCCGCGGTTCATGTATATTTCATCGGGAACGCCGCGGCCAAACTTAAACTTGGAAAGAGCTTATCGGGAGAGTCGCGGCCCAATCACACTCGGCATGCCGCGGGCCTTATCAAAGGCCGCACTTCTTTCACGCTGTAGCTTAAGCGCAACCCGCGTGAGGTACGCCACAGCGATGGGGCTACCCTAAGTGTTTGTGGGACTGGTAATCGCCTCTCGGGTTGGCTTGTGTGACAGTTGAGTTTATATGCCCACGAAACAATCCTCAGCAATCGGTTGAGTGTTATCGAAGACGGCAGATGATGTCGACAGATGAGCTAACAAGTTGCTCAATTTTGTACTCAGTCGTTGTCATGAAAGACAGGCCAAAATTTTTTCACTCTTCATAGGCCTTACAAGCATGCTAATCGGGTCAACCATCGGGCGCTTACAGGATGCGCCGCGGTCACTTATCGGGTCCACTATCGGTTTATACCGGGCAGCTCGCGGCATGGATGATTGGTGGCCGAGCAAGCACCCGCGAACTTCCCGATGCAATTGTCTGAGTGGATATCGTTTTTAGGGCGGGAAACAAAGGGGATATCGTTGGGGTCCGCGGCGCAGAAGTGCCTCAAGAATGCCGCCGGCATGCCACCGGCATGCTGTCCGTCAGCAAACAAAGGCCTCGTTCTCAGCCAAAATGCAGTGTATGACACCAAGTTTGATGTGTGCATGCGCGTTGGTGGACCGGAACTATAGCCCAAAAATTTATGAAAACTTATGTGAATGAAAGCTGTGCCGAACATTTTTCTGAATTAGCTGGCACCGTGCCAGCTGGGTGCCAGCTGAGCTGCCACCGACACTTTGCTCACATAAGTTTTCATACTTTTTTACATAAAATGTATCTATAGTGTAAAAGTTTACATACAGAAAAGAAACATTTTCATAATGTTTTCTTTTCAGCGTTTTATAGCAATTTCAAAATTACTCAGTCTGCTCCGCAATCGAAAACTCGGCTTTTTCTGCTTCTCAAGATGTGATTCAACCACATAAAAAGTTCAGAAATTTGTGAAAAGTGGTTCCATGAAATCAGCATGCATGAAAACCCTACTACATACTTTCACAGAACCCAAAAATAATGACTTGTCTTCAAACCTGGTCAAAGGGGACTTCGCACGAAATTTACAAGATCAAACGGGACTTCGTTTCAAAATTTCCCTGGTGCCAGCTCGTGCCGAGCCTTGGCTCGCACTGGTCACTACTCTTACTATCTATGTATATGCTTTCCGTGTACTCGCATGATGATGGCTTTGAAACTCATTTCGCTATACCGGCCATCACGAATGAATGTAAGCATCTGCTCATTCCAAAGGCTTTTCACATACGATATCGGTGACTTTGAAGGAAGGAAACCTCTATGCCGAAGAATATCCGCGAATTTGAATTGGTTACCAAATAGATTATGGCTTATTGATTGTCATAATGACAGTGACCACCATAAGCTAGATCTCTAAGTAAAAATCTTCTTGGATTCTTAGGTAAACCCTTTGAAAATGGACTATCTACGCAATCTCGCAATCGCTGTGTATGTATGAGATGAGATTATTAAGGCTCACAACTTGTCAATCCATTACCCGAATAGAGTGTGAACCAGATATGAGATGAGTTAATGGGGACAAAAAGCTAATGTCAAGGACCATAATGGCTTTGGACTTCCCCAGAATTGACCGAGTGTGCCGACGCTGAATAACACTGAGAAAGGGCCGTGCTAGCACACCGTGTCTCTACTCTGGCCCAGGGCTACGGGCGCTACCGGCGTTCCTGACCCCCTAAATCTAATCTATCTAATCTATAAAGAAGCGTAAGGTCATTCAAAAATCATCAGATAGCGGGAAACCGAGCGGTCCCGAAGCGAGCGCGCCTGCCACTATAGCACCTTTGAGAGTATTCAGTTCAGTAGTATATATCGTTCGCAATTCTCATCTGGATCTCCGATAACCTGGTGGCGGCACTTGTCGGCGTAGGTCGGGCAACTTTGGACGAAGCCTTGGCGTATTCATGCGCATCGTTCTTGTTGAATGGAA